GGTATCATTCATCATGGCAGACGGAAATGAAGAAAGCGAAGACGGTGAAGTAAGTTTTAAGAAGCCTTTGGAACTCTTCAAGCAGAAAAAAAATAGTGCGCATATGTACACCAATGGTTAGATATTCCGAGTCGTGATCGCCTTATTGTCTCTCCAGTTGGCGAGTATTATGTGGCCTGAGTAAGCGTTTTAGCGAAGGTCTTCGTTTTAGATTTTGAACCTGCTTTTTCTACATAACGAAGGCCCTATATTTAACGTATATTTCAACTTATCACAAACTATAGCGACGTTTCAGGAGTTAGCGTTCTTCCCCAGGTTTTTTTTTCCAGTTAGTTTACGTGGATCTTCGGTTTTAATTTGGTATGCAGCCTTCGGTCTTCGTTTTGATTTGTAGTTTCCCTAATTTGAATATCCACGGCCTTGTACTGCCATTAGGAAATACATTACGCATAATTGCCTCAATATTTTGGCTGGACATCCAAGGCCATCTAAAGGTTTGCCGCGAAATGGACATATCTTGGTGGAAAGAATTGCATTCTCAAACCTAGAACAAAAATTCATATCTGATAAGAGGGTCTCTAATAGGTTTTTCGGGATCCGGGATCCGGGATTAGGCTCATTTGAAGGCCGGGATCCGGTAATTTATGGTAAAAGTGGGATACGGGATTTCTATTATGAACGGGACGCGGGAATCAGCGATTTTGGGGAACTTTAACGAACCGAGAACCGGGATGTCCGTTGACGAGAATTCATGAAGAAATTGACCTTCCCAGTCATGAAAAGCACCAGGCGTATAGACTCTAGCATTCAAGAGGCGGTCGGGCTGCTCAGGGACACTGTTCAGTTATTGCGCGGGAATGAAAATTATATCAGAAGCGAAGTTGCCAATTTATCAAAAATCCTCAATGGCCCACAGGGTAACGTGGCATCTAAGACTGCTACGTCAATTGATATGCTTAACGACCGATATGATGCTCTTGACTTGTTGAGTTACTTTACACTAGATGTGAAGAATGTTCACTCTGTTGTGCATCACAAAGATAAACTTTTCGTGGTGTTAGATTACCCAAGAAACTTTGGAAATGTAGCCTAAAAAGGCTTAATGAGGACAACCTATTAAGCGGCGTGCTATTTTACAAATCCAAATTCTTGGTATCTTGTGCCCGAACATGCCAGGATCCTGTCGGCCATACCAGTAATTCAACCGTTACCACCTGTGCCGATGGCACCACAGAGCATACGGAAGATGAGGGACTGGGCGTAAACATTTGTTGAGCAGTGCATCAGCGCTCTGTCAGACAGGAAACAACAATGGCAAGAGCTGGAACTTCCCGTCGTACCTCTATCAGAGAGAAATTCAGCCGGTCGAACTGGTCAGCCTCGAATTGCTCGGGCTCGAGGTGTCGCGGAATCAAGAGGACTGTATACTTCTTTGTTTTCTAAACGCGTTTATTTTCTTCCATCACTCCTGACAATCTGAACATACTAACACTCTAACGATCTAAAACCAATCTGCCCTTACAATTCAGTGCTACTTCGTTTTACAGTTCTAGTTGCGAAATAAAGTAATTTTCCCACAATCACGAGTTCAGTAAATTCCTAATCCCAACGTACTGTAATATACCCTATTTTAGTTGCAATTTCACAATTACACGTTTCTTTCCCTTATTTAGTTCACTGTACGCATGCAAATCAATGTTGAACTTTGTTTACAGCGTTGTGAAATATCATGTCACGAAATCTTCCTATTCGCGTTACAATCAGTCTAGTATTTCGTTACATTGTGTGACAATTTATAACATTAATCATTAATTATAAAGAAATCGTTCTCGACACGAGGAGCAGCAAGAAAACGGTGGGAAACACGACAAAGGGAGAGATGGAATATTGGAGTACGATTCACCGAGTTGTCATGTTGACATTCCATCTTTGGAACGAGAGACTGATTTTTACCTCGGAAGAGGTTCCCGCTTTGGAAGAAGCATTTGCTTCAACAGCAGAATTGTGTTCAGTTAATTTTTCTTTATCTCCGTTGTAATGGAAATATGGGATTGCCGAGACCTTGTGTTTTATGCACTTGTTAAAATTGTTATTCGTTTCTTTGATACAGACCTGCCTGTACCTATACGTTTGTCCGTGATCTAAGTTTAATGGAAGGAAGTCGTTACCATGACTAGCGTACGTTATTCATGTAAGACTTTGAAAACTTCTAAAATGAACGATATCATCATTTTGGTGAAAAAAAAATTACCTTACGCCTTACGGTGATCATAGACTTCAACGGATCAATGCTGGTTAAGAAAACCATCACCCACCGGAAAGGCCCTTCTAAGTTTAGGAAATGGGCTAAGATAAAATTGTACGATCTGGATCGGGACTGGCCGTTATAAACCGGTATTGAGAGAAAATAACGAATCTGAAAATAGCTGAATATTTCTTGAAAAAATAAGAATTTATTGTGGCAATTAAATCTCAACGTTACTTCTCTAAATTTTGTCCTACTACCAAACTTTATTTATCAGGTATTTTTCTCAAAACTATATTAAACAAATAATATTCTTCAATCTTGGCTATAGTTATCATTGCTACTTAACACATATTTCAGAAGTCAATGAATAACATGAACGACATAAACGAATAAAATCTAAAAAATTATGGACAAAACAATTCAAGCAGCTGTAGTTCTTGACATACATCACGCATTCGTTCACAACTGAAAAACGTTTTTGTAATAGCAAAGAAATGGGTGCGTTTCAGAAGTCTGTCACTTACATAAAAGCTAATAGGTTACTTGCTACTTATAAGAATGACCTATGGCAACGGAAATCATTTCAAATCAGCAATGTGACTGCCTTCGCACCTGGTACCACAGGCCGGGTGGTGCGAGTATGATGGCTTGTGGGAACGTCAAAGAGGATCACGACTGCGGTACTGTGGAATTGTGAAAATGCCCGTTACTCCCTTTGCCTATTTCCTGTCGCATACCTTTTTTTGCGTCAGTAGCTGCCAAAAAATTTTAAAAGGTGAGGGGAGCGTATATTCTCTCATTCGCTGGGGTTTGTAATCCACGGATGCATAGATGATTTCTCTAGAAGAAGGCCTCCATATATTCGGGAAGCTTAAGGTTTATTCTTGGGAGAAATATCAAATGAAGCGCAAGTATATTCGTTGCGTTGTCAACGTGAAGCAGGCCTGTATCCTCCATTGCGTAAAAATACGTAATAGAAAAGATGACACATACACCTGAAGATGTCTCTCCAAAGTCTTTGGATTCTCTGATTTCTTGCGGAGGGACCGGCAAGGAAACTCCCTCTACCTTCACCTCTTGCTTCCACCATGCCATCACAAACTGGTACATTTTCCACACCATAATTCACACGAATAAGTGATGGCCACAACCCATCTTGCAATCTTTCAATTGCTTCTGAAAAAGTTCCAGAACAGTTTGTGAAAGATTGTTATTACCACATCTGAGAAAGACAATTCTTCTAGAGAAAACACATGCATCCGTGGATCACAAAACCTCAGCGAATAAGAGAATGATGACCATCTAAATGCCACAGAGAATTTGGCCATGGCACGGAGTATTGCCTACGAGAAACAACAATTCCCCACCTCAAGGCAGTATTCGCTGGATCCACCCTTGCTAAACACTTACGAATTCTTCCTCTTTGAATCCTCAGTCCAAGTGACTTAAGGTACCCGGCTAGGTATGTTCGCCCGGTTGTTAATCCATGACGAGCAATATACTCCAAGACTGATTCATCCAATTCTGTATCCGGCAATAAACTAAAATTCGCCGTACTTTGCAAGCCATATGATTGTACTCTACGATAAATTGTACAACAGGACACACGAAACTACCAAGAAATTTTTGCCAGTGAAGATCCAAGTCCGAGAAGATCTTCTAACGTTTCAGGAGATAAATAAAACTGTGGTCTCCCTGGATTTCCCGTCCTGAGAATTTTACGTTTACATCGAGAAATTGATGAAGGTTTTACTGCTAGAACTTTTAGATGATTTTGAATAGCCTGCAATATTTCTGCAAACGTAATAGCTAAAGATTCCCACTCGATCCGATCTTGCTCAATGTTGGTTAAGGCAATAGAACTCGAAAGACTAACAGTTCGATCGAGAACTGCAGATTGTACTTGCAAGTCAATGATATTTAATATGTATACACTGCTTTTTTTTTAATATGTATACACTGCTCTGTCCCATCGAGCACTGACGATTAAAAGTTAGGTAAGTCTTTTTCCACGCCAAATTCTGGCCTAACGTCCGCCATGATGTAGTTAACTTTCCCGCGCGAAAACACAAAGTATTAAAGTTCCCGTATGCGAGTTATCGTTTCCGGTCATTAACCGGAAGCAATTTTTAATGTACTCTTTTTCGCATTGAATTGAAATTGAAATTGAAATCAAATTGAGTTGAATTTCCATTGAATTGAACTCGAATTTTCATTGAATTGAAATTGAATTTTCATTGAACTGAACTTGAATTGAACTCGAATTGAAATTGAATTTTGGTATTGAATATTGCTACAATGGGCTTGTTGTACTTACCCCAAATATCCTGAAAATTTGCGTCACCATTCTTCTAACTATTGAAAATGCAACCCCAACATAGTTAATCCAGTCGTGAAAATACGACCCAATTCTGCTTCACATCCCTATTACCCTATTACTGGGAATTACCCTTCCCTAGTACTTTCACAAAAGAATAACTTGGAGACAATTTGCTTAGGCCTAGTTCAAACGTCGATCTTTACATGTACCGAACCTAACGTTTCTATTAAGTACATGTAAAGATCGACGTTTGACTTTCGGCAGATTTGTATAGACTCAACTCCCAACGAACACAATTAGGTTCTCGACGTTTGAACTAGGCCTTAAGGTCTTTTGTTCCGTTCCTGACTTTTCTCTCCCAACGAACACAACTGGGTTCACCTTTGTAAGGTATCAACAATGCAGTTTAAAAACGACACCCTCAGGTTCTCATATCTTTCACTTTCTTTAATAAGAAACAATACCGACTATGAATGCTAGATTTTCACAAAAATTCATTTCGCCTCTAAAACGCGCTAAAACTGATATAACTGATATAACTAATTACACGTGTATTAATCATCATAAATCAATTTTATCCTTGTGAAAGCCATTCATTGACAAAAATACATGAATAAATGGATTAATTCAAAAGAATTTCAAGTTTTATCTCATCTTGGTGCTGGTTACATGATGTCACCGTTACATCATAAATTACTGAGTCCTTGAAATAGAGTTTCATCGCATAACTGAAATTCAACTCCAAAAACCGAAATTTTATTCAAGGGATTCGTCTCAGCACGAAACATTTGAACACCAATTTCAAAACGAACCAATCAAAATCACACGAGAAAAAAGTATATTCAGAGAAAATATGATAGTCGTTGGTTACATTTGGACACGCTTGTAGGTGAAGACCTGTCAAATTTCGTGTTGCCTTATTGTTTTGATTTATAAATAGAGTTAGAGAGACTTTTCGGCTTCTGAACGAGAAGGTTACAATACGAGGGATATTTCATTTCTTGACAGTGTTTAAACTGCGAACAAATTTTTACAACCACTAAAACAACTCTCCAGTCAAAGGTCACACCCGAAAAAAGATACCATTAGAGCATTATTCGATTAAATGTCCAAAATCATTAGCCAATGAGAACTCAAAGCAAAAACAAGCAACCTGTTTGAAGCGCGGAAAAACGCGAATGACCAACTCGCGATTGTATTTAGTTTTGCATCTGATTGGTTGAGAGGATGGGGCGCGAGTTTTCTGAACCAATCACACAGCAAAGTAAAGTAAAACCAAAGCAACCCCGAATTACTTTCGACACTCATCTGAAAATTGATTTAAGAGAACACCCAAGCTTCCAAAGGCTTCCCACTCTCCCTTTATTCTTGGTAAAAGTCTGTTCATATTCATGTCTTCCAAGGATAATATACACACTATTATTTTCCTTTTCCCAAATTGTTCTTTATCCAGTTTGCATACTCTCTTCTTCTTTCTTTGACTGATAGTCAAGGATTTCTTTGTAAACCAGATCTGAAACAAAATAGAAGATACTTTTAGAAAGCACTATGGGCAAACGTGTTCTTTAATGTTCGTCATTCCACCCTTAAAATAATCTCCATGAAAAAAGGTCTGACATCAAATTATGATGTAAAGGAGCCAGGTAAAAGCGAAATTTATAAAATAATTCAAATAGTACGCGCGCTCTGATTGGCCATAAAACCATTTTACATGAGCGTATGTAAACACGGTTTTCGTTCCTCTTTCATTAGTTATTTTATAAAAGAAATGTTAAATGGTTTCCGTGTTTACATAGCCTGATGTAAACACGCGGGAGGTTGGGAGAACACGAGATAAGCTGGAAACCACTCCGCTGTGTTCTCCCAACCTCCCGCGTGTTTACATCAGGCTATGTAAACACGGAAACCATTTTACATTTCTTCATTCTTTCATGTGGCTTATTTTATATCCATGTCAATCTTCTCCATCTTCCACTATCTTCGTTCCGTTTTCTTTATTATTTCCATTTTCGATGTTGTACTATCTTCCTGAACTGTTATTTTTTGGTTTCTCTTGCGAATAGGGTGACTTCGCATCTTTCACAGAATGACTTAAAATAATGAACTCGGTGGTAAAGTGTTTAATACCTCTCCATTTATCTATTGGCCAATCCTTGGCTTCGAACTGTACTTCATCAAATGGCTCACACGTTGGCTGTTAAGGAAAAGAGAGAAATGTTCCCCTAGTACATCACTCTCGATGGCTATTGGCTTGAGGACACCCTATTTCCAGATATACCACACTTAACAACGGCAGGGGTCAGAAACATAGACTACTACCATATTGAGTGCTTCTCACCGTAGGGATTACGATTGCCGATTTGACTCAGTTGATAAATTCAAATTTCCCTGTTAGACTCTCCCACCAATTCAGCTGATATGAGCTATGTGTAACCTTCAACCAAATTCGATTATTTTCAGTAAACTCTCCCAAGGAGCATAGAAAATCTATGACATGTTTTAAAATTTTTATGTCCACCTGAGGGTTACCTCGTCGTCTGCATCGGCATAAGTAGCCACGTAAGGATGTGCGAGGGCTTGTTCTGCTGTGATTCTTACGTCTGTATCAAGGTTCAGCATCCGTTCCAGCAGATCTACAGCTGAATAAGGCCACAAATATAATGTTTCAAAGCTTACAGAGTTGCATCATTTTGTACATTTTCAGGCAAATGAATGCAAGAGGGAGGTGTCGTTTTCGTGCTCTTCCTCCTGAATGTGACTTGCCTGAACCCGAACCTCACCTGAAAATTATCTGTGCTTCCCTTAACAAGGGAAAAAATCTTTAGCTTGTTTTGTAGGTTAGGTGAAAGTTTGACAACAAAGTTTTCTGATGATTCTGGCAGTGTCGATGACATCCACAGAAACAGGAGTCCCAAATCATATAAGATGACACACCCAGTGGGCCAAATAACAAAAAGACTCCCTGGGTGCAACTCCATTTCAGGAAGCCCATTTCCCCAGCCATCATTAATACTAACATCCCTCACACCCCTGGGGGGAGAGAGGCATTGCCCAAACCCCATTGAACACTTAACCCTGGTCCCTAGAAGTTTTTCCTAATGCATGTTTGTCCCCCGTTGCCTTTGCAATTTTGCCTCCCCCCAGAATAAAACAAGTTCACCTCTGCCTTCACAAGTTTGCCCAAAAATCTTAAAACTTGATTCCTTACAATGAACATATTATTTTCCTGTCAAAATCATGATATATTTTGATCAAGAAGCAATTTTTCCTGAGTCAAATGCTAACCTACAAAAACATGCTAAGTTGCTTTGAAACACTGGGCTCAACAACAAACAAGTGTGAATATCAACTACTCTACACATATTTTTGGCCTAACAGTATTTTAGTTTGTTCTTAAAAAGTAGCTATTGGAATTTTAGCATAAAAAATGTAGTGGTTTTGCACTACTTGTGCAGGAGTCCTGTGTCGCGTTATAACACGCCTAAAAATTTGCATCTTGAACAAACTCTGCTATGGTTTCACCTTGAATTGCATGTTAATCAAAACACATGATGACTTCTTCAGAAAATGACTGAATTCTGCTGTTTGGAAATGAGTTGAAAGATTTGCTTAAAGAGAGAACAAACATGTTCTAATGCTGGGGGCAACATTGTTTTACCATAGGGTGAGCTTGCTTTTACTACAGGGGACAACATTGTTTTACTACAGGGGACAACATTGTTTTACCACAGGGCAAACTTGTTTTTCTACAGGGGGCAACCTTGTTTTACTACAGGGGGCAAACTTGTTTTACTACAGGGGACAACCTTGTTTTACTACAGGGGGCAACATTGTTTACCACAGGGGTTAACCTTGCAAAGTTGGTGGTGGGGGAACTTGCATAAACCTCCATAAACCCTTCAACCTGATTTCTGATTTTGCTTGATCTTCATTTGACCATGGACATCATACCTATTAAGAGTCGTGCCTCCTAAATGTACATCATGGTAACATTTACTTTACGTACCTTGTGGGTTAGCATGAACAAAAACCTCTGTAAATGGTCTCTTTTCATATTTTGGCATTGATGCTATATAACTTCTTGCCTGGAGAACACATAAAATGGTTAAGATCTACTGACTGTTCCCAAAAAAGAAAAAAACAAATAATTTTGACTTGCTGACCAGCAGATGAACTGATTGACTGACTAATTGACTGACTGAGGGGCTGACTGGCTGGCTGACTAGCAGACTAACTGACTGACTGACTGACTGACTGATTTACTCAGTAATTCAGTGTTAAGAACTTAGTTGAAAATGTAAATTGGCCACTGTAAAGCATTAAAAGGCTGACGTTTTGAGCATTAGCCCTTCGTTAGAGCAAAGCTGACATTTCAAGCATTAGCCCTTCATTGCTCTGACAAAGGGCTAAAGCTTGAAAAGTCAGCCTTTTAACTCTTTTTTCAACTCAGATGTTCACACTAAATTACCTGCTATACTCTCCCACTGATGCAGCACCATAGTTTCTTTAGAAACTTACCCCCTTTATTCATTTGACTGATTTATTGGCTGACTGACTCACTGACTGTCTGACTGGCAGATGGACAGATGGATGGGCAGATGACTGACAACAAAAGTCATTTCTATCTCCATATTGACTTTAAGCCTACATGAACAATGACACAATTTTTGTTTATCTATTGAATATTTACCAAAATAAAGATACAGTTCCTTGATTGACTGATTGACTGACAGACTGAGGGGCTAACTGGCTGGCTGACTGACTGACTGACTGGTTTACTGGCTGGCTGGCTGGCTGACTGACTGACTGACTGGTAGATAGACAGATGGATGGGTAGTTGAACTAGCTGACTGACCATAATCCTTAGATCAAATCAACTACACTTACTGATTCACTGCTGATTTTCCCTAGGAAATCTTCACCAGGTTTCCCAACAAGTTGCATAATTCGTGTCAACTGATCAATATTTTTTAACAGTTAAGGCTAAGCAAGTTACTTATGTAACAATACATAAATAATTACTGGTTTGCAAGAAATGAGAAGACAAAGAGAAAAATTTAGGAGGAACTTGTTCATTACTCTTTTGTTTCCTTTTCAAGTACTACAAGTGAAACAAGATGAATTTTTTACTATGTAAAAATGAAAAGTCATTAAAAGGATATGATCATTCCCAGGAAACAATGTTTTACCCGTCAGAAGCTCAGCCATGATGCAACCAACAGACCAAATATCCACTGCAAAGGAGGAAAACACCCTTCATTTAAATACTGAAATAAGTCTGAATACCATATTCCCTTGAGTAAGAGCCCACAATCTAATAAGCACCCTCCTCAGAGTAAGCCTTTGCCTCAGAGGTCATAACGTCAAACAAGCATCCCTCTTAACCCTTTAAATCCCAAGATCTGATTTTTGATTCTCCCTTCTAGCTGCTAGATAATTTCTTGTTCACTAGTTATAAGAATTTAGTGTTAGATCAAGATGACAACTTCAACCTGATAAGTTTGAGTATTCTCATTACCTGTTTATTAAATATTATGTGGATATTATAGGGAGAAACTACATGTTGATCAGTTCTGGGAGTTAGAGGGTGAATTAGATAAGCACTCTACCCCCTCCTCCCTCACTTCCTTCAATAATAGGACTAAGGAAGACCTGTTCTCTTGCCATGTTAGTTATAACTTTTTTAAATGTCAAATATGGTGGAATCAGTGCAGGAGAACAGTATCTTTCTTTTTAACCCTTTAACTCCCAGAGGTGATTAACATCTACCTTCTCCCTACAATATCCATACATTATTCAGCAAACAGGTGATGAGAATACTCAAACATATCAAGTAGAAGTTCTTGTCTTGATCTAACACCAAATTCTTGTAACTAATTTAAAAGGAAACATGTTGTAGCTGCAGGGGAGAATTGACTATCAGATCTTGGGAGTTAAAGGGTTAAGCACAACACCTGCCCCGGCTAGGACTAGAACCCGGGTCGTCCGGGTTGTCTGACTCGGAGCTCAGTGCACTGACCACTGGACTACAGAACAAAGCCATGGAGTTGGCATGCCCGCAGTACAGTTGACCACGCATGTTAAAAGTAGCACCTTGTACGGTTGTATGGTCGTACAGTTGTATAGTCGTATGGTCCTACAACCAAATTTTTTTGGCTTGATGGGTTACTACTATTTTGAATAATTATAGGGCTACACTCTGCGAGCTCTGTTAATAGAAACACAATTTTTCGTCAGGAACTGACAATTCTGTAGATAGATCAGCTTTTTGGACAGGGAAATGTAGTGCTGTTTGAGGGAAGAGTAATTTATCAGAAGTTGAGATTTAACCCTTAACTCCCATAACAGGCCAAGACAGAATGTCTCCTTCTAATATCAATATAATATCAAGCAGACAAGTGATGAGACTAAAGGAAAATGTCAGTGCAGGGATTTTTAGTTGATCCAATGCCAAATTCTCTGAATTAACATCATAAGAATTGTATGGCAGACAGTAAGGAGAATTACTAATGAGATCTTGGTAATGAAAGGGTTAAAAGAGAATCATTAAAACTCCAAGCTAGACACAAACCTGTTTGATTATAATGCATCCAGTTGAGCATGATTTCTGGTGCTCTGTACCATCTTGTTGCTACATAACCTGTCATTTCCTCCTCTGCCATTCTTGCCAAACCAAAGTCAAGAATCTTAAAAAGAAAAAAAAAAAAGTAATTAGTCGAGAGCATGTTCCGACAAGCCTTAAACTGTTTTTCTATCTAAAAAAATTGGCAGATCACAGTTACTGTAAAGAAATGCACCTCTAAGCAAACAGAAAGCTAACCGATCACTCCCAAAGAGGTACAAACATTAAAGAAAAAAAAACAACAAATATAATTTGGTAAATTGTCTTATTTTCCTCTCTATTTAATATTGGAACAGTATGTCAAAATTAAAAGCTATGTGGTTCAATGCTTTTTATTATTTTTTTTTTCTTTTATCTTTTTTTTTTCTTTTAGTGTTTGTACCCTTGAGAAGTGATAATTTAGCTTTCCATTTGCATAGAAATGAATATTTCTTATCAAATCAGATGATAAAAATAAACTACATGTATCTTGTGATACCTCCCACTGATGCCACAACATAGTTCCTTTAGAAAGTTACCCCTTTTATTCACTAAAAAAGACATCCTTTATGATTTGCAATGAAAAATACACTATACATTAAATTAAACAAAAACACCTTAAAGTGGTTTTACCCTGAGTTCACAATCCTCGTTAACAGCTATATTACTGGGCTTCAGATCCTACAAATCCAATAAAAAATTTGTGAGTAAAGAAACATACACACAATGGACTCATTTGAAGTCCTCTCTCTCATTGTGCAATACAGCTTGGTTTGACACTTAATTACTAATTAAGTTATCTAAAATAAAAAACCTACCCTGTGAATGACTCCTGCTGAATGGACGTACTGAAAAGAAAATTAGAACCATTAATGACACCTCATCAGATTTCTCAACATGCTTTCAGTAAGAATTCATTCAAGTTCTGTGGCAACAGGTGAGAGCATGCCCCACACCCTCCACGAATGACACTTTTTTTTTTCACAAAACAAGCCATGCTTTACATCATCAAATAAGTTTAAGTTAGTCATCATGGTAAATAACACTTTCAAAAGAGAAATGTAATCATTGTCTCACAATGAGGTCACTTTGGATGTGGATTGCAACATTTTGACTGCATACTGCAAGTCTTCTTCAGACAATGAGGTTGATTTGGTATGAATGAGTATAGGTGATGCATGCCATTAGAAGCTTAACCACCATAAATTATATACATCAATGGAAAGGTTATGAAATGCGCTATTTAGCAAAAATTATTTTGTTTTTGCTTGATCTAATCATATACCAAATGGGGTGCGACAATTCAAAATGGATGTCTTTCTTCAAGCGAATTAATCACACATCAAATCATGGAGATTGCTAAAGAAGAAATTATGTTTAGCACTTAGTTGTCCCTACCTTAAGCCCTCTCAGTATCTGATAAACAAGAAACTGAACATGTTCATCAGTGAGTTTCTGGCACTTAAGAATGCTGTTCAGATCAGCTCCCATCAGAGCAGTTACCATATATCTATTGGTTAGAAGGAAAAAGCAGAAAGTTAATATGAAATCTAGAAAAGCCTGTCTCAGGTGGTTTAAAAATTCCAAAGACCATTATAAACAATTGTCTTTTTGCATGACAAGGACTAATTTTGGTGTTCATGAAACCCCCTCACTCCTAGGAGTTGCCAGAAATAAATTTTTCCTAACTCTAAGGATCTGCAAGTCAATTCTGCCTAAATGTATAGTTGCTCCTCATTTCCTTGTAAATTAGAGTCAATAGTTTGATGTTAAAATTGTTAAAATCGAGATAACAACTCCTGACTGATGAGGTTGAGTTTTCTCATTACCTGTCTGCTGGGTAATGTGAGCTACATGTTAATCACTTCAGAGGGTTGAAGAGTTAACATTGACAAATTCAATGAACTTTCAGTAAGATCATGAGAAGAAAGCAGAGTTTGATTAAGCACCACATTCACAGACTGAGATAAAATGATGAGAAAATGTATGGCAGACAAAGGAGGTGTCTTAACCCTTTAACTCCCAAGATCTGATTGTTAATTCTCCCCTATAGCTGCTACACATTTCCTTGTAAATTAGTTATGAGAGCCTGGTGCTAGACCAAGATAGCAGCTTCTACCTGATAAGTTTGAGTATTCTCATTACCTGTTTGCTAAAGAATGTTCGGATATTGTAGGGAGAAGATTTATGTTAATCACTTCTGGGAGTCAAATGGTTAATTATAGAGAACATACTCCATAAATAAAAAATACGCCTAGGTAACCGTCAAATGATTTTTAAGTCATAAAATAGGTTAACCACTGTGGTAAATCATACTTCAAAAGAAAAATATAATTGTTCGTCTCACAATATGACATTTTGACTGTATACTGCTAGTCTTCTTCAGGTGACTCTTAGTGTGAAGAAGACTGGCAGCATCCAGTCCAAATGTTGCAACCCACATCCAAAGTGACCACACTGTGAAACAAACGATTATATTTCTCTTTTGAATAAATATTGTTTAACTTACACATCTTGAAAATTCCCAAATGAAGTATTAGGAGTAAAAACATCAAGCAAACCAATAACCTTAGGGGAAAAAAATAAAACAGCAATTTAGTTAAAATGTTGAAAGAAATAGACTAAAATCTGTCCTATAAAATATCGGTGTCACCCTGTGGTATTGTTGTAAAAATAAAGATTCAAGTACATGAGTGAAAACAAAAAAGGAAAAAAGTCATTTCAAAAAATAACAAAAATTGATGACAAATGTTAGTTAGCACTGGACACCAACATCATGATTAAAAATAAAATAACTCAAATTTTGACTTGCAAATATCCTTTTTTCTACAAAATCATTTTAATTGTAGCTCATCTGCATGAATCATGTTTTTAACTGCATATCATTCACAGGTCAAAATATAATTTTTTTCACATAATTGTGATCAGATGCCATTAGGAGAATGAACAACCCTCAAAATTTTACCTTGGTACCAACATGTGGCTTCTTAGCTCAGTCTGCAGGGGCACCTAACTTAACCCTTTAACTCCCATGAGTGACCAAGAGAGAATTTCTTTTTACAATATCAATACAATATCAAGTAGGCAAGTGATAAGAATAAAGAAAAATATCTGTTAGGGGATTGGCCCTTAAACTCCCTGTGAATGACCAAACCAGAATTTCTCCATACAATATCAATACAATATCAAGCAGACAAGTGATGAGAATAAAGAAAAATTTAAATTATGGGATTATTATAACCAAATTCTCCAAACCAGCATCTTAAGAACTGTATGGCAGACAGTAAGGAGAATTACTAATGAGATCTTGGGAGTAAAAGGGTTTATAGCAGTTGACCTGAGGGGATCATTTTCAAACATATTTCAGTCACAACGACATAAACTCTACACAATAAACCTACATTTTCATGATCCATATGGCGAAGAAGTTTCAGTTCCCTGAAGGATCTCTTTGCATGCATTGTGGTTTGGAAAGGTCTTGAGAGTTTCTTGATTGCCACTTGTTCTCCATTAGTGGTGTTTGTAGCAGAGCTGTGGATTTTTTAAAGATATTGTAAGTACATACAAACTCAGACTATCCTATTCTGTAAGTTCAGAGGTGCATCTAGAACAGGATTCTCCCGTTTTGTTCTCTACATTCTGTCCCTTCCAAGAAAGGGAGAGAATGTGGGTTTCTTTTTTCCAAAAAGGTGCTTGTTATCAAGCCAGATGTGCACGCTAAACAGATGTATTTAGTATAACATCTTAAATAATCATGATCTGTTTGAAATACCAGAATTTGTGATGTTTATATAACTCGATCTGAACAGCATAACACAAGTGAAAAACAACATTTTGATACAACTTGCCTAACATAACATTCTATATGTTCATATTTCGAACACAATTAAACCTCATTAATGATGAATCTACAAACTGATCGATTATTTGCATTTAAATTAAATGTACTGTTCAAGTTTTATCTCTACATTGGTTAAAATGTATAACCTAGCTGTGAGTTTGAATTCATTACAGATATTTCACCATATAACTAAGATTAGAAGCCAGCCTACGTGAAAATTTCGGGTAAAATTTACGCACAGCCCCATACTATTGTTAAACAAATCTGTTTTCCCAATCGCAATGTATTGCTTTTGTCGTTCTTTTCTCTATCCAAGAACTGAATGCATAATATAGTATGGTGCTGTGCGGAAATTTTCCCCAATTTCGCTCTAAACAGTGTTTTGGCAGGTTAAGGCAAGAGTTGAAGGAAAGATTTCAGCACAACGTCATACTTTTCAAAAACAAAGCATTAATCTCAGAGGTAATCCATTGTTTTTACTTTTGCTTCCTGATTGCAAATATTAGTATCCATGACGAAGCATGGGGTAATGTGGAAACTTTGTCGCGCTGAACATTGTGATAAGTAAGCATATTTATAGTAGGTGACGAATTAAACAAACTACATCGAGTATGTTTGCAGTTCTTGAACGCCTCTGTTCCTTTTTCACGAAGGGTGCGAACATCGATGAAGCCTCTCAGTTTGAAAATCGCATCATTCCAAGATCAGCCATCAAATCAGGGTACAAACCTCAAATCAAATATTTTATGTACAATCGAGGCAAACTCCTGTCTGCATTTTAACACTCTGTACTCACCAAACTTGTCCATACGCGCCGGTTCCAATTGGACTCAGGTCTTGATACTTCTCAGGAACTTCCCAAACGGTTCTATTTAACTCCGTTCTATAGTAGCCAGGCGGAAGGTCAGCCATTATCACTTAGGCTTAGGTGTTCTGAAATAACGCTTTCGCTTTCGCAAAGGCTTTTAACTGCCTTCAGGTGGTCGAGGTAAGTGCGCAAGTTTTTTCCTCTTCCCTTCGCGCACACTTATACCCAGATCTCGACGTTTGTCTCGTTCTCAGTGTCTCTCTCGAATAGCATGCCGGGTATCATTCATCATGGCGGACGGAGATGAAGAAAGCGAAGAAGACGGTGAAGTAAGTTTTAAAAAGCCTTTGGAACTCTTCGAGCAGAAAAAAATAGTGCGCATATGTGCGCCAATGGTTAGATATTCCAAGTAAGTCGTGATCGCCTTATTGTCTCTCCAGTTGGCGAGTATTATGTGGCCTGAGGAAGCGTTTTGGCGAAGGTCTTCGTTTTGCATTTTGAGCCTGCTTTTTCTACTAAACGAAGGCCTTATATATATTACGTATATTTCAACTCCTCGAAGCATCTAAACTATAGCGACGTTTTATGAGTCAGCGTTCTTCCCCGTGTTGTTTTTTAAATTTAGTTTACGTGGATCTTCGGTTTTAATTTGGTATTCAGTAGTCTTCGGACTTCGCTTTGATTTATAGTTTCCCTGGTTTGGATATTCACAGCATTGTACTGCCATTGGCAAATACACTATGCATAAGTGCCTTGATATTTTGGCAGGACATCAAAGGCCATCTAAAAGTTTGCTGTAAAATGGACATGTCTTGGTGGAAAGAATAGCATTCTCAAACCTACCGCAAAAAATTCATATCTGATAACACCATCTTAATATATCATTTTATCATTTCAGGCTGCCATTTCGGACCCTAGTCAGAAGGTAATACGATGATTTACTTCTCACCTTATTTTCTGGTTCAATTTTCAATTAATTGTGGGGATTTAATGTTGAAAGCTTTGTTTTACTATTTAATACAGATATGGCTGTGACTTGGCATACACTCCTATGATAGTCTCGGACTCTTTTGTAAAATCTGTTAAGGCCAGGGACATGGAATTCACAACTAATGCAGGTGAAGAAGAAGTAACAGATTACCATACAACTTGATCTTTAACCATTTACACTCTATCATCAGTTTGTCATTCCTCCATACTGTTTTCCATACATTTCCATAAGGGCTTAACCCTTTATTTTTATACGCTAACATGCTTGTGAGTAGTATATTCTTTTCCATACATTTCCCTAATTAGTGCCTTGGCACTAGAACAACTAGACACAGAAACAAAAGTTCTATATGTATGTATGTATGTATGTATGTATGTATGTATGTATGTATGTATGTATGTATGTATGTATGTCCTTTAGTACTGACAAGGAGGGTATTTTCAACAGTCTCAAGTTTCTATTTTACTGTTTCCTTTATTCTTGGGACCTTAATGTGTGGTTACTGTAAGAAGAAACTAGAAGCTAGTCACCCTCAGGGGTTAAAAGGTTAAAATGTGAAAATAGATAAATTTTTACATCAATCAGGTGTTTCTTTTTTATTTTGGTGGTCTTCTCTTTTATCACTTTATGTATGAATTACTTTCACTGTTTTTCATAGGTGATCGCCCTTTAATTGTTCAATTTGCAGCAAGCAATGCAAAGGATTTTGCTGATGCTGCTGAAATTGTAGCACCGTGAGTTAACCCTTTATTTTTATACCCTAACATACTTGTAAGTAGTATATTCTTTATACTATTCCCTATACATTTCCTTTGGTACTGAGAAGGAGAATTTGTTTAACAATCAAAGCCTCCTAGGTTGCTGATTATTTCCTTTATTCTCATTATCTTTATGAATGATTCAGCAGTGTAATTGTTAGGAGAAATTAGATGCTGGTCACTCTTAAAGTTAAAAGGGTTAAATAATTCATTCTAGTGGAATTTTTATCTTGCATTATCACATATTTTACTGCAGCTGGTTGTGGTTTTAGTTGAATTAGCCCTGACACCCTATCCTCTTCTGTTTTGATCCTTTAAGAATTTGAAACACATGAAAAACTCACCTGTTGTCTTGCTTGGTGACATACTTAATTTTTTCTGCTTCAGGTTTTCTGATGGTGTTGATCTTAATTGTGGCTGCCCTCAAAGGTAACTGATTATTGAATTATTAATAGATACAATTAAAATGAAATAAGATGCACATCAGATACAACCATTTCCTCAAAATGATCATAGTGTGCACTCAAGGCAAGAGGCCCACCTAGCTGGTGCTTATCCTGGTCTCTGTTGGATGAAGTGACTAGAAGTATTGATACTCTCCCTGGATGGGATAGCAGTCCATCACCCAGGCATTTTGTCAGCTTTGTCTTACAGTGTGCCTTTGTAGAATTGTGTCACAAACAGTCATGCTGTATATCACCTTTTTACTAGTTAATAGGTCTTTTTTGTACAGGATGTTATTGATTTTAATTTGACTTGCTGGTTTTGCTTCATTATCAAACTGCATAATGATTTTCCTGACATGTGTAGTTCAGAGTTGCAAGCATTTTCCGTTTTGCTACAATTAGCCTATTAAACAGTATAAAAATAATTATTTGATTATCTAGTAAATAAGAATTACGGTCAACTTGCTGATGGTCCAACTTGCCGACGCCAACTCGCCAATGTATAAAATCGAGTAGAGACGTCGACAAGTTGGTCCTCAATCCAATACAACTTATTAGAGTTATAACTCGTTCGCATCTTAAGCTGTTATAGTCATTGGTGATGTTCACCAATGTTCACCAATGTTTAAGCTTCTGTTTGATGTTCACCAATGTTCACCAGTGTTTTTTTACTAAATATCGTTTACTTTTCTGTATGTTTAACTTCTAATAAGTTGTATTGAATTGAGGACTAACTCGTCTATGTCTCTACTCAATTTTATACACCGGTGAGTTGGTGTGGACGAGTTGGACCGACGGCGAGCTGACTGGATACTGTAAATAAGTGTCAATAAAAGTCCATACAAATTTATGCTCATGGGTGCAGAGAGGTAATGTGAGAATTAATTGTCTTCCCTAAGAACACAACATAAGGACCAGGCTATGTCTCAAATCCAGGCCTCTAGACATGGAGTGCAGAGCACTAACTGTTGAACCACTGGGTCCCCTCATTAACCCTTTAACTCTCAAGATCTGATTGTTAATTCTCCCATCTGGCTGCTACACATATCCTTGTAAATTAGTTATGAGAATTTGTGTGAGATCAAGATAATAACTTCTACCTGATAAGCTTGAATATTCTCACTACCTGTTTGCTGGATAATGTAAGGATATTATAGGGAGAAGTTTTCATGTTGATCACTTCTGGGAGTTAAAGGGTAGATGGTCAGGATTTTGTGTCTTCCAGGTGGGCCATGCAAGAGGGATATGGAGCAAAACTGATCAGAACACCAGCTTTAATTAAAGACATTGTGAGGCAGACTGTGGGGCGAATCCCTGGATTCCCTGTATCAATCAAAATTAGAATCCATGATGATTTAAGGTGGGTTCTGACTTGAATTTAAAATTTCCAACACTAAGGATCTTATAAAAAAGATGTTTAGTTTGTTTATTTTAAATTGGAAAAAAATGAATGAAAAACCAATGACATGTCATTTCTAAGACCTAGGTTTTAGCAAAGATGGAAAGATATTTAATGTTTTAAGTACAACATGGCTTTCCCTTGGATTGTGATCAATCTTCATGTCAACCTCGCTCTCTGTTTACATCATGTCAACCAATGCAAAGAATTTCACACTAGCAACCATACTGCAGTCTCTGTCATGAAAGCTTTATTTAACCCCTGAACTCCAAGATCGAATTGTCAATTCTCCCATCTAGCTGCCTGCTACACACATTTCCTTTTCTTATAACAGTAAAACAGTACAGCTCTGTCAGCAAGCTGAAAAGGCTGGTGTGGCTTGGATAACAGTTCATGGGAGAACAACAAGACAAAGAGGAGAACCAGCAAACTGGGATGCCATAAAATTGGTATTTGTTGTAAAATTAAATATTCTAGTATGTATAATGGATTTCTTATTGAAGGGACTGATCATTATTTATGAAGAGTGGGGGAAGGGAAAAATATGTTGGAAAGATCAAAATTTCGATAAACTCCCTCTCCCCCCTCCACACAATGTAAATAGCAAGTGAACCCCCTTCTTATTCAATATATTAACATGATCACCCCCCCCCCTTTCAATTCATATCTCATATCTCCTCTTACATGCTTAGTAGTTAATTAAAATTCATGTCACATACAACCATAAGATGACTGCTTTGCATGACACCCACCTCTGGCAATGGACCTCTCCTAGAATACATCAAACTGCTGATCCCCTATAAACTTCTTTATTAAAAGTTTACTCCCCCCCTTCTAGCCAATCCAAAATAGCCTTTAGTCAATGCATGTGTATGATGGTCAAATATGAGATTGTTGATATCTTTCATTATTCATTTATGTAGAAATGAAGTGATTAACATGTAACTTCTCCCTACAACAACCATACATTATCCAGCAAACAGGTGATGAGAATACTCAAACTTATCAGGTGGAAGTTGTAATCTTGATCTAACACCAAATTCTTGTAACTAATTTTAAAGGAAACATAAAGCAGATAGAGGGGAGAATTAACAATCAGATCTTGGGAATTAATGGGGTAAAATGATGAAGTTGCTGAGACTGACTGATTTTTATTTGTGTGACCATTTAGATAGAAACCCCTTAAATGGAAGTGTCATTTGGAAATGATATCAGGACAATAATTTGGTCACTCAATATTTATTGCTCATTCTACTTTGTTTTCATTTCAGATTCAAGAAAGTGTATTGATTCCAGTTGTGGCCAATGGAGATATCAAAACAGAATCAGATGTTATAAATGTCCATGAAAAAACAGGAGTCAATGGTAAATTTTTCAACTTTTGTATGCATATTTTCCATGTTGTTCTCTATACATTTCCTAAGGTGCTGACAAGGAGAATTTATGTAACAATCAAGAGCTTCTTTTGTTGGTGATCATTTAATTTATTTTAAAGTTTGATTCTGCAGTGATATTTTAAAGAGAAATTGCACTGTAGATGCCAATTGCTCTTGTGGGTTAAAGGTTTATTGCACCATTGGGACTGAGAGTATTCTTTTACATCATTACATGCAATTTTTGTTGACAATATATCACTGTACTGCAGGTGTGATGGCTGCCAGAGGAATTTTGAACAACCCAGCGATGTTTGCAGGGTATCAGTCAACTCCTTTACAATGTGTCACAGATTGGGTAAGTCATAGAGATCACTGGTCTGTCTCGGGTCTTCTACGAAACCTAGGTCACTGTAGAGCATAGCAAACTTCCAGAAAAGATTTGGATCCATACTTTACAGGAGGAGTGAACCATTTTGCTCATTAATTTTGTTATAATTATGTTAAAGGTAATTCCTCAGAAAAAAAAAGTTATGGAACAATTTTTTTAAACTTTCCTTAAATGTTCCCTACCAATGTCTGTTTTGAAAAATACAATAAAATGCTTGTTTAGGAGATACATGGGGCCAAACTTACCCCATTTATGCCTGTAGTGGAGTTAATCACACACATCATTTCATCAGTTCACAGTACATTTTGCTGCAGCTGGAAGCAAGGGTTTTCAAAGTAACACTTGGAAAATCTTGATAAGTAGAAAGTCTCGAGCATATAGAAGTTTGATATATAATATGTGGGAACATCAGGCAAATTTAAATGACAATGACTTAAAAATGTTCTTTGAGTTTAATTTCCCCTATTCAAAGGGGATAATTTTTTCACCAAAATTATGCAAAAAAACAATACAGGTCATTGTGGACCAGCATCCCATCCAGAGGGTAGTAGTAATGCTTCTAGTGGCTTCATGCAAAGGAAACTGTGATAAACTCCAACTGAATGGGCTATTTAGCTTAAGGACAGACTTTACCTACAAGTATTTTTTAAATGAATTGTTCACAACTGCACTATTTTAGGTTGATGTTGCTCTTTCCCTTGGCACTCCTTTCACCAACTTTCATCATCATTTGATTTACATGTTAGAGAAAGTGACAACAAAAGCAGGTAAAAATAAGGATGGGGATGTGAATTGTAAAACAGCTTAGTAACCCTTGAACCCCTAAGAGTGACTAGCATCTAATTTCTCCTTACAATGTCACTCCTGAATCACATATTAACATCATGAGAATCAAGGAAATGATCCTCAACAAAAGAAACTCTTGATTGTTAACCAAATTCTCCTCATCAGCACCATAGTAAATGTACAGAGAACAGTATGGAGAATATGAATACAAATGTTAGGATGTAAAGAGTTAATGGTGGATGCTGAATGATGCTTATGTTTGGGAGTTGGGTTGAATTAAATTGGAAATATTTTGGGGTAATTGAAGTGTTATCAACTGAGTTGATAATGTAAATTGGCCACTGTAAAGACTTTAAAGGCAAGCTAGGTGTCCAATTTATATTATCAACTCAGTTGATAACACTAAATTACCCTGTTATACTCTCCCACCAATGCGGCACCACAGTTTTCTTTAGAAACTTACTCCCTTTATGCTACATTTCTGGAAATATTACACATTTTCCTCAAAATTTTCCATTTAGAAAACTTCACTTTATTTCATAGCTATAGTCCATTATGTATTGCTGAAGTTTGTTTTATCTCTTTTTTTGCTTTTTAGACAGAAGAGTGTTCAGTGAGCTTAAAAGTATACCTTCAGTTCTGGAATATCTTAGAGTAAATTACAACATCTAAAACAGGAATATGATGTAAAAAAGTTTACTGTAAGTCTGTTGGGAAACACTCAGTGTAACTGTTGGATTATCAATGGCAAAGGAGGCAAGGCAAATGAAGAACTGACCAAAAACCGTAAAGGGCATGACATGAAGTTGCTAAAAAAATGAAGTTACTTTTTCTGCTCAGCAATGAATGTTGACTCAAAGTCAGGGGTTTGAATAAAAGCAGGTTAGCAGAGGTTTACCACCACTTTTAAAACCTCTTACTGCAGTCTGTTTAATCTGGAGCAGGCTATCATGTGGGTTTTGCATCATGCCTATTACGCGAATGTACACCATTCATCAGCCACTAATGGTAAAACTTATTTAAACTGCAAAGTGTCAGAGAAGACTTAATTTAGCCACGTGTGAAGACAACAAGTGATAGTGAATGTATTAGTTTAGTTTCATGTAGGAAGTGATTTCCCAAGCAAACCTCTAACACCAAATTCTCATAACCAATTTACTAGGAAATGTGTAGCAGCTAGAGGGGAAAATTAAATGTCTGACTTTGGGAGTTAAGGGTTAAAGTGTATTACCCAAAAACTTTTTGACCCTTAATCCAGTGTGTGAACTACCACAGAAGCTGCTTAACCCTTTAACTCCCAAGATCTGATTGTTAATTCTCCCCTGTAGCTGCTACACATTTCCTTTTAAATTAATTATGAGAACTTGGTGCTTGATCGAAATAGTAGCTTCTACCTGATAAGTTTGAATATTCTCATTACCTGTTTGCTGAATAATGTAAGGATATTGTAGGGAGAAGTTTTATGTTAATCACCTCTGGGAGTTGAAGGGTTAAGAAGTTTTACAAAAAAATAAAAATCACAGATTCAAATGTTGTTATCCTTTTATTTAGACTTGAACTTTTTTAGAAAAATGTATGAATATCAAAGCAATAAATACAATACTTTTGGGAAAGCCTTTACTACTTCTGTGTGTATTGATCTTTAGATGGAAGCAGCCATATTGGTGATTTCAAAGTCCAACACGTAATGGTGGTGAGACTAAGATGACTCCATCTCCCCTCACAAACAGCATTGGAATATTCCTTTTTGTTGTCTGTTGTAAAAAAAAATAACAGACATATATTCAAACTGATCCGAGCTTTGCTCATTACTACAGTCACATTTTAACCCTTTCACTCCCAAGATCTCATTAGTTATTCTCCTAAATGACTGCCACACAATTCATATGATTTTAGTTATGAGAATTTGTTAGTGGATCAACTACTAATCCCATAATTGATATTTCTCTTTATTCTCATCACTTGTCTGCTTGATATTGTATGAATATTGTGAGGACAAATTCTGTCTTGGTCACTCACAGGAGTTGAAGGGTTAACAAAATGGTGATAATTTTACGAGTCTTGTTTATCTATCATAACAAGTCTTTTGCTCCAAGAGAGGCAAATTAAGAAGCAGGCAAAAGAGCATTTAGCAAGTTCATTTCAGGAAACCTTTGTCAACCTTGAAATCCTTCATTTTGATATTTTCTCTGTTAAAGACTTCAATCTGTCTCCCAAATTATTGTTTTAAGAATTGTGCAGTTTACTCAAGTAGCTTGGTGCAATATTGTAGTTTCCAGTCTATGACCAAATTCTGCTCAGAATGAATAATGAGTTTTTACCTTGAAGAGTTCTTCATATGTTTCTTCATCTATTTCTACAGTTGTAATGGTTTCCTCAACCTCGCTTAAGATCATATTAAGATGCTGATCATAAGCCTGGAAAGAAATTAAGAATACTACATATCCATAAAAGTGATAGGGGGTTAATCTGATGTATATCAATCTGAATGCCATACATTTCCCACGATACAATATGGAAACACAAATTGACATTACTGTAGCTGGACACAATTATTTGCTACATTCTCAGAACACTATCACACTAAAAGATAGTTAAAACCAACAGACTTATATTGAGGACATTATCTAGATGTGAATTCAAATTCACCCAAACAGTCAAATAGGAAATGTATGGTCACCCGTTAGGAGAATTAGCTTTCAGATCCTGTAAGTGAAAGAGTTAAACCCAAGAACCATTAGCAATTGGACTTTCCCAGATAAAAACAAGTGTGAAATTTAGCTTGAAGCCTGTGACGTTTCCTTGAGTTGACAAGTCGCTTATCAAATCACCATTTCACCTACAATGGCAGTCTTGAATTTCATTTCCTCAATCTCAAAAATCTTATTAATCATTTTGCCTGAGAAGAAATAAGATTTGTTCAGCTACATAGGCGTTGGATTAAGCTTAAGTGGCAATTAATCAAACACGAGAATGTGTTATTGGTTTTCTTCATTTCTGCATTTGATGAATCATTCCAATATTTATACATACAAGACGACCATTTGGCTTAGAGACTCGAATTCTACATTCGATAGATTTATGGAGACTATTTTATTTCAGCTGATACCTTGTCACTGATGGGAGACCAAACAGACTACTTTGATCAGAAAATGAGCTTTCTAGGGCTGAATTTGTTGTTTAAAGGACAAAACCTTTCATAATTCAGGATTTCAACCGTTTCAAATGTGTCTCTGTTGTCAGCTGAGCATGGCGGTCCACAGAATATCATAGAACCAAAATACTTACGTGGAGTTTTCCCCTGAGTTCTCTATCATTCCTAAGTTTTACGTAAATCCTCTCATCCAGACTCAGACGTATGAGATCGAGTGGTTCTTCCACAGTGTTCGCTGCTGCTTCATCTTCCGCCATTTTTGTTTTACGCACGAGGAACGTCGTAAAAATTACTCTGGGAGGGGAGGGTGGAGTCGAAATTAAAGATTAAGTAGGTACCGGTAAAGAACGGCAAGGGTGCCTTCTCTTATATTCCGACACGGACATAAGAAAATGGAAAAGTAGACTGGACAAGAAAAACAAAGATGAAATTTGAGACTGTTTGGTCGAGCCCTGACATCTCCCTTTCTTCCCAAAATCTTATCACGAGTTTTTTCCCTTCCCGCTTTTAAACGATTTCGCTGTCCTTGTAATTATTTAGATGTTCAGTTTGTTTCAGACAAATGATTTTATCATATAAACCAAATAGATCAAATTCTGCTGTAAAAGATCACAGAAGACGTAAAAACGTGATGACAAATCAATTGAAATTTGCTATTTTGATACAACATCAAATTCTCATAAACAATTTACCAGAAAATGCGTAGCTGCTACCAGGGAGAATTGATTGGATCTACACAGTTTAGGGTTTAAAAAAGTGGAGCTAATCCAGAAAGTATTATGAGCAAACAGAAACCTTTTTATTTTTCTTTTTCCGTTTACGTTTCTTTTTACCACTATCCCGTCCGAAATTTCTTTCCAAATTCATATTTTTAGATTGTTCTTGTAAATTTACTTCTTGGTGTTTCTTGTTCTTTTTCCGATATTTTTTCTTCGGTAACAGACTAACATGTGCTGATGAATGTGCAGAATCGCTGTCGTTGTCAACGTCATCATTCACTGGTTGTGTTGAGTCTTCTTGAGACCTTTTCCTCTTTCCTCCGGGTAATAAACCATTGGATTCTGTAGCTTTGTGATCCATCACTGTTTCATTGTCATTTCTCACAAAGAGTGCCACGAAAAACCCGTTGGTGAAATCTTGATCAGGTGACGCTCGGATGCATCTCTCTGCTGTAAAAGATACAAGAAACAATCTCCAAATTAAATGCCGTCTAAAACATTTTTTTACAGCACTTTTCGATGAGTGTCGTAAAACCAAACCAAAGTTATCACAACTGCTAATTTAGAAAAAAGGAAAATACCTCTGAGGAACAAAGAGAACTCAGAGTAATGATGACAAAACTACCTAAACTGCTAGCGAAAACTACAGGCATCGAGGCTATTCAGCTTCGCAAAACAATGTAAAATAAGACTGGCTTTAATAAGTGAATCCATGATCGCTATGAAAGTGGCCCACGCTCTTCAAGCTTAAAAAAAAACCACGCACATGAAGAAACCCCTATGATGATAAAGCGCGGGAAAACGCGCGCGACCAAGTGGTTTTAGTTTTTGTTCTGATTGGTTGAGGTAGTGGAGCGAGTTTTCCAGACCAATCACTGAGCGAAGTAAAGCAAAACCAATGAAATTTCGGATTACTGTCGACATTCAATTGAAAATTGTTCGGAGAAATCACACCATCAGTCTAACAGAACATGAGAGAAATGCCAAATAGTGAACAGAAAGGATATCATGAGTTAATAAAACCTTTGATACGAAAAAAAACTCTAGCAGCAGGCACCATTTCTGCTTCTCCAAAAAATCGGATATTTAATCATCTCCAAAACGAGACGTAATACTAAACAACACCTTTGTTTCAAGAAAATTTGTGCTGCTATGTTAAAGAGCCTTTTTATTGGTTGAAACACTAGTCTTCTTGAAAGCCTAGTCTTCTTGGACTTCTCACGCAACCCTCTTCCTACACACCAGAGCACATTGCGTGACAAACAGCCTCGTCACTCAACAAACTTCCTCTGCACCAGGACACAATGCATGAAAAGACCAAACAGCAGCTATGAAGTACCCTACCATGAAACCTACCCTCAGGAAATACAGCCATTCCTCTGTGTGTCCAGGATGGTAAAGCATGCTCCAGCGAAAATCTGTCCCTGTTTGCGTTTAAAGCTGCCTCCACTACATCTTCATTTTCCTACCAGGAAAAAGAAAAAAGAAAGTTGTGAAGAAAATTAAAATGGAAACCTATTTGGAAGGTACAGTGGTCTTATGATTAGTGCACTGAACTCTGGGAAGAGAGGTCTAGGTTTGAGACTCGGCTGGGTCAATGTGTTGCGTTCTTGGACAAAACACTTCAGTCTCACAGTGCCGGTCTCCACCCAGGAGAAAATGTGTACTGGCAAGTTACCAGGGAAGTCTGATGAAATGCTATGAAGGAGAGGGCGTCACCTTGCAATGGACTAGTATACTAGTATCCCATCCAGGGGGGAGTAGTGATACTCCTAGTAGCTTCAAGCTAAGGAAACTGAGATAAGCTGTGGCTGGCTGGGGGGGGGAAGGGTACTTGGCTTTAGCAAAAACTTTACTATAATGGTAGTAAAAGATTAAGCAGAGGAAGAGAGGAAGAAGATTAACTTTCAACATTATTTTTTATTTCCAGTATTTGCCAGTTACTCCAGCCCATTTCTGCTGTAATTGTTGCCAGCTCCACTAGAAATCTCATTAATTCAAACACTAACATGCTCAGTTACAGTCACAAGAGTAAAATCAAAAGTTTGCCTCCTGAACTGATTACCTGTTGATGAATGGAGCAGGTTGAGTAGACCACCCTCTTCACATGAGGAAAGGACAAGGCATGGTTTAACACAGACAACTGAAACTTGGCTAGTGATAGAAGCCTTTCCTGCAAAAATGAGAAAAAAGCTGGCATTCACAAGGTTGTTCTTAATTTATTAAGCCTTTGACTTTCATTAGCAGCAGGTCTTACCTCTTCTTTAAGCTTGTCTTCCTTTTCATCAATTATGCCATCCATCCTGTTGACAATACCAGACCCAGAGCATGATGGATCTACCACTATGTATTGCACTTCAGTGTACTTCTCACCTAAAGGATTTACCTAAAGCAACAAAATTCATAAGGTTACAGCATAAGTTTTCCATAGAATGACACTGTGGGACCTCTCATCTAAATGAATTACCTAAAACAACAAAACTCATAATGCTACAGCATATGTTTTCCATAGAATGACATTATCTGTAAGTAACTTTTGTATTCAGGTATCACATAGTACAGAATAGTTCCTAATGGTTACCAGATCAGTTCTTATACAGATGCATGTACCAGACATCACTGTAATACTTGTTCTAGAGAAAACTAGGAGTTCTAGATGAATTATTGGCCTTTAAGAAATTTCCTTTGTTGTACCAATAGCCTTGCAATTCAATTGTTCAATAAACGCTGAGTTACTAACCTCCAGAAAACTACAGTTTGTCATTGTGACACACTCCACTCCAGCTTTCTTCATCAGAGTTTGCATTACTGTTAACCTCTTCCTATCACTGTCAAATGCATATATTTTCCTGACATCAAAACAGAAAAAAACAGCTGATTAACAAAGCTCAAGTTCAAAACTGGAGGTGCATGAAAAGTAGGGTCTAACTCCCAGAGCTTCATGGGGTGTGCTAAAATCAGTTTTCTTTTCCCCCAATATTTTTTACTCGGGCAATAGACTTTGCTGAACAGGAGGGACAGCTTGTAATATAACCACATTAGAGAATGTCAATAAATAAAAATAGAAAAATTATCAGGATGATAAAGTAACTGTTGATGTTTACTAGACATACCCTGAATCATTCATCAAACTTGCCACATGACTGGTTTTGTTCCCAGGGGCAGCACAAGCATCAATCACATGAGAGCCGGGTGGGGCAGCTAGAACATGTGCTGGTAGACAACTAGCCTATATAAACAAAAAATATAAAATAGATCAGTGTCAGAGTTGAACTTTCTATCACAATCCCACAGGATTTCTCTTTATTACAATGGAAATGTCAATTAGAAGGTTGCCAAACAGAATGATTTTTTAAAAAAATATATATTTTTTAACATAAATAATATCTGCAAGCTGATCTATGCAAGAGCTTTCTTGTTAACTCCCTCTGCACAAACAATTTGCATCTGAAAGATACTGTTTACAAAATCATAAAAAAAAAGAGCCCCAAAGCCTCAGAAAAGCCTTGGAAAAACATGAACAGAAGCAGTTCATCTTGCCAGGAATTTGTGACATTAGCTGTTCTTACTTTATCTTGAAGTATGATGTGTCCACTGACATAAAGAGGATGATCATGCAGATCTGTTCCTGCAGGAAACACCAAGACATCTGAGAGGTGTTTGTCACACATGAACTGCTTACATGAAGAATTCTAGTTGTGGTAACAGAAAGAAAACAACATTGTTTAAAATAGTGTAACAACATGATGAGTCAAAGAAAAGTACGAGTGTTATGTGAAGACTGATTGTCCAGATTAAGAGAGCCCCTTTAAGTGCCTATGACAATTTTTTTTCATTTTGTATTTATTTTATAGCTTATCATATGTACAAACCAATTCCAATAGAAGAAAAATTTCAAAAAAATTAAAACTCATATTTTTGTGGCCCTTAAGTGCTCTTAATTTGTCTTAAAAGTGTCTCCTGGACTGGAAACGAGTTAGTGGATGATGACATAGAAAATTGTGAAAACTCTCTGTTGACACATAGAATGCAACTGACTGATAGCACAATAACCCAAGAAGAGGTTTCATCAGATTCAAGCACTTTCCAAAGAGAGTAGAATTTAAAAATTACATCTTTTTCCCTTTTCCTTAATGTTTGCTCACAAATTAGCAAGACATTCACCTGCGCAGCTAATGAAGCAATATCTTGTTTGTCTACCAGTTGATAACCATTATTTTCAAAATCATTTATGACATCTTTCAGTGTTGTCTTTATCCTATTGACTCGTACATATCTTGGAATTGAGCCTCACAAAAGAAATTATAAAAAGATTAATCCATGACAAATACACAAAGTTGTAAACACAAGACTGCAAAAATGTTGACCCCTAAGGGGCATGATCTTTTAACATGAGACCCAATAGCCTTATGGGAAATGTTTGCACGGTTACATAATCAATACTTTACTTTTCCATGGTTTATTAAAATCTCTCTTTATGACAATTCTCTTCTTTTAGGAAGGTGTGGATGAACTCTGTCATTTGCTGTGTGCAGCCAATTGTGGTTATCACATACATGTGTATCCATAATGCTACTGGGTCCCACAGTTCATTGCTTCTACTCTTTAGGGTCAACATTTTTGCAAACGAATGTGATGAAAAGTCTTTGCTATGTCCCTGGGTCAACTGATCCTGGATCAGATAAAAATCCCTGCAACCTGGGAATAAAGATTAGAAGATCAAGGAAAGCTATCCAGGCAATCATTAAATTAACCTAGTATGGATCCAGGAGGAAAAAGGAGTACGTTAAGGAAAGACATTGACAAAGAGCTTATTCACCTCTAAAAATTAGCCAAGCCAAGCCAAGCTCAAGCAAGCTGCCTACTCGATTGATACAGAATTCTTTACTTACATAGTCTATTACATACATGTACATGTAGATACTACTAGCTTTCAGAAAGATACAGCTTTCCTTTGCTGTTTATTTTCAGAATCACATTCAGTTTTACTCAAACAGCTTGTTAGTGGACCTCTGGTTATCTATTTTCCATGTTTATTTTAGAAAAAAAATTAACAGAGTATCACTGATGAAAAAAGTAAAACTGCATCAGACTGCGTTTTACATGAAATCAATACTCTTACACAGAATGTATCATACCTTAAAAATGATTTAATACGATATTTTCAAGTGTTTGAACATATAATTTCCCTACCCCTTTCACCAAACTTTGCTTAGCTGAAACCCACACCAACCCCAACCCCATAGGATTGCAACTGACCCTTCAGGGATGGGATGTGAAAATGTGCAAGAAGCAGAAATCATTGAGTGGTCACCTCTCTGTATTTTTTAATTACCTGTCTCTACAGCAGGTTTAGGCAACAGATCCTCATTACGATGAACCTTGGCTTTGATCTTCAAACGTGCCAAACATGACTGAAGGGCAGCTTTGTGATTAAAAATGAACTGTTTCAACTCTCCACCACATTCGATTCCTTGGCCAAACAGGAAGTCATACACTAACACTAAGGCATAGCTATGTTTGAGCTGAATAATGGGAGATACCAGTATTAGTATGCTTACATAATAACACGACTTCGAGAGCAATTTAGTGTTAATAAACACAGGTAAATTTTTCAAAGACAACAAAATTACACCCAGCCCATAGGGGTTGTTTATATTTTACATGTAAAACGCATCACAGAAAGTCAAGACAATCATCGTTATAATCATAATATAGTTACCTTTTTCTCAAGTTTTAGAAGTCTTGTTTGTTCAAAGATATCTTCCAAAATTCCTCTGTCTATAAATAAAGGAACATTATTCATCGCTGAATCGAAACACAGCTTCGATTTCACATATGGAGACAAAAAACAAAAGAGAGCTAAAAAACGGAAAGCTTAGGGACGCTTATAATAACTTAACGATCTCTCAGCAACAATCTAAAGAAGAGGTTTAACAGATCTCAAAATTGAGAGATCGACCATTGGTACTTCAGAAAGGTTTGAGGAAAAAATATAACCTAAACTCACATTTTAGTGTTTCACACACCAAGGCGTAAAGTTTTTTCTTCTTGGGAAAGCGACTGTTGATCGCCAAGTTTTTTGCAGTGCCTTGTTTCTTTGTCACTTTGTCTACAATTTGTGCAGCGCATGAGTACAGCGCCGCCATCTTGTAAATAGCGCGATTCTGGTATATGTGTCATGTAAGACAGGCGAAAAGGCACCTAGTCAGGTATGTCATGTAACATGTACTGATATATGACCCTATTCAAATCCCTTTCACACACACTTTGATTGGTTCTTACTTATGATCTATAAGAGAACAGACACGTCAACATTAGCAACATGATGCTTCTTTGATATGAACAACGAATACATCCCATTATGCCATGCAGTCGTTCAGTTAACCCTTTAACTCCCAGAAGTGATTAGCATGTAAGTTCTCCCTGTAATATCCATACATTAACCTGCACACAGGTGACAAGAATACTCAAACTAATCAGGTGGAAATTGTTATCTTGATCCAACACCAAATTCTCGTAACTAATTTACAAGGAGGTGTGTTGCAGCAACAGGGGAGAATTAACAATCAGATCTTGGAACTTGAGGGTTAAAGATCATAATAGACTTCAAAGTGTGACAAGTACATCAACACACTCTTCTGTGCCCTGTGTGCCACTTAACTTTTTTGTTCTTGATACATTTGGGGGACTGCTATTGTAAAGAGTAGTTGGATTTTTTTTTTTGGGGGGGGTGGGAGGGGTGGGCTGGAGTGTACACCTTTTAACCTCTCGGTCCGGCAGGCACCCAGCTATAGTGACATCTCTCTTTCTGTGTGTCAAGGTAGAATTGTTTCACCCTTGCGGGTTTGATTGGATAACACAAGAGCTTTTAATTTCAAAACTTAGTGTTCTTTTATTGGAATATCAACTTCACATCAATTTATTTTTTATCCTAAAAAAAGATACTTCTTCCTAGCTACATTACTTTTTTCACTGACACAAAGACGGGCAACGCAATTATCTAATCTTTTTTTATCGAAATAATCAAGTCCACAGGTAGCTGAGGAACTTCAATATGGAGAGACTTTGCAAGATTATAATCTTTGACCTACAATCCAACTTTTAAGTTCATTTTCGATGCCCTGGTTGACCTCTCAGATATAACAAAAAATCTCTCCTACTCTTTTTCTTGATCAAACAGACCTCTGTCTGTCCTTTATCAATTGCATATTTAATTATTCCACATTTCTGTGTTAAATTGAACTGAAATACATCTAAAGGCATAGTCTTAAATAAGATCAAACTGTGCAGTTAATTAAATGGCATTACATACGTTGATTAACAAATATTAGACCAAATTCATGCTGATTACAAATGTTTTTTTCTTACAATACTAATCTAAGAGGAAAAAGTACTACAATTAATCTTACTGAGTCTACTAAATTAAATTCCCTCACAGTATTGTCTTAAACCCAGATCTAGGCTTCTCGATTTAAGTTTTCTTTAGGAACTTTCTAGACAAATCTAACGTTCAATGGGTTGACACAACTGAAAAAGGTTCTACCTTTCAACAACTGTCAAAACTTTAACTAGATTGAAGAAGACAGGAGCCTTACCGAGGCGCTACTACTAACGCTATAATAAAACTTCAGGACCCAAAGAGGCCAAACTCAACTTCTTCTTCAATCATTTCGTGAAAATCTTAAGAAATGTAAACATACAAACATCTTAATTAAGCAAACGTTCCAAGAGGCCAATGAAAATCTGATTACATTTACTCAGCAACATCTTTCAGTGGTATACAAGCTTTTACAAGAATCCGTTGCTAAATTTTAATTAAGATTTACCATAAGAAGGCTCGTGTTGATCTTAAGATGAAACCGTTTCTTTTCAATTCAAACAAATAAACAAACAAGCAACAACAACAATAAAAAGCCTGATGACCAGCAACTAACATGGCCCTTCCTATAAGTTCCTTTGACCCGACTTAGTTACTCGTTCGTGCGTTGCAAAGAGAAGGCTCTGAGTAAGTCTTGATAAACCGGTTTTCGACACTCACGGTTTTCCAGTTCCACTCACTTACGATTCAATCAACCACTAAGCTTTCTTCAGAGAAAACTTAAGCCCTCTCTAAATGCATACCCGAAACGCTTAAGTTTTTTCCTTGATCATTTGTTGCAATCCAAAATAGTTCAGAATCCCAGTGCGCGGGCAGTCTAGTGCAATACTTTCCTCGTTCATTTCATCAGTGTAAGATGCAACCTTCCGGTTCACCCCTTTCCCGCCTGAATTTTTACCAATGCATCATTTCCATCGTCAACAGGGCAAAAGATTGAGAGATAAGTACCTTTACAAAAACGTATCAAACTAAAGCGTTGACGTATAGGAAAGGTTCTCATATTTCTTGCAAAATGATCGTTTCCTTAAAGTTTTCACCTCACGAAATTCAAATCTGAAATAAAATTAAACAGCTACACAATGATACTTTTCAACTGTTAAGGAAGAAAAAAAACAGGCACTGTATATTCAGAAAAGTCCTACAGATTGTCTCATACAAATTATTAATTGCTAATTATTCTGAGATTAGGGAAGCGAACCTTTCCTGTGATAAGCTCGCTTTCTATTAATAATAATCTCCCTGACAAATCTTCAGTAACAGCACGACAAGGGTAGTCATAAAATACCCTCATTTAAACACACTCATTAACTAATCGAATTAAATATCTTTTAAGTGGAGAGAAGTTAAAAAAGTCCAGCTTTCTTTCTGAGATTTGTCTTCTTCCACATTGGCAGAGCATCAAAAGCGCTTTTGGTCATGTTAAAAGCTTTCTGCAAGAAAAAGAAAAGCACACGTTCAAATAACTTGAAGGACAAGGGAACAAGGTGACGAAGAGAAGAAGAAACAAAGGAACGAAGAGAAGAAGGAAAGAAGGGAAGTGGAGACGCAGGGTCAAAAGGCCAAGGCGACGAAGACACGAAGAGACGAAGGGACGAAGAGACAAAGAGACGAAGAGAAAAGGGACCAAGAGACGAAGGAACAAGGGACGAAGAGAAGGGAAGTGGAAACGCAGGGTCAAAAGGCCAAGGCGACGAAGAGATGAAGAGACGAAGGGACGAAGAGACGCAAGGGTCAAAGACGAAAGCCAAGGCGACGAAGACGCACAAAAGGCCAAGGCGACGAAGAGACGAAAGGACAAGGAGACAAAGAGACGAAGAGAAAAGGGACCAAGAGACGAAGAGTAAAAGAGACGAAACAAGCAAGGCACCAAATGACGAACGGACCGAAGGCGACCGAGGGGTGAAAGAAAGAAGACACGAATTAACGACGGAACGAGGGACGAAGAGACGAAGAAGAAAAGACACGAAACGAGAGGGTCACGGAATGACGAACGGACTGAACACGACAGGACTGAAGGTAAACGACAGGTGAAAGAAAGAAGAGACGAATTGGCGACGGAAAGATGCAATGATATGACGAAGACAGAGTAAAGTGACAAAGGGAAGAAGGAAAGATGAACGAGAGAACAAGAAAACGAAAGGAAAAGTTACAGAGGAACGCGGGGTGAACAAGAAAACGAAAGGACAAAGTTACAAAGGAACGCGGGAACGAACGAACGAACGAACGAACGAACGAACGAACGAACGAACGATACCATATCGAAAAACCTTATTTTCTTACCTGAAAGTCGTCTGCACTCAGATATGTCTCAAGTCTTGACGGATCAACCCCTTCAGGGGGCGGTTTTTGTTTCAGTTCTTCTAAACTGTACTCCTGCCTATAAATCAAAATACAAACACATCAATTTTCCCGTGCAAGACTGTTTGAGAGTCATTTTTATGTTTATCAACAACATACCTTGAGAGTTTGGTAAGTTCTGTTTCTACTTTTACCGTATCGCCGTCAGCTTTACCATCCTAAAAGAATTACGAGGTTTAATCAAAACAAGTCCTTTAGATTTTTTCCTAAAAATGGCTCAAGGATTGCAATAATTTTTTCCAAATGAAGTCAATCATTACTCACCGCTATGTTTATTTTGGCCACGTCGGGTCTTTCCTCCCAGAATGGGAAAAGCAGTTTGAACGATTTTGGTTCCAGACCAGCAAACACAATGAATACTTGAGAGAAGTCGCGCTTTAGTTCTAAAAAATACAAAAATCTAATCAGGACGCACTTCTACCCAAAAATGTAGCCTGTGAGCACGACGCGCGTTTCTCCGTCCTCGGGAAGATTAAAGACGAGTCGGGGAGAGGTTTGCCGGGGGTCTGGCACCAATAATGAGGACGCCTAACCGACCTTTCTCTCGATTCTCATATTTTACTTCGGGCAAAGAAATGATCGTGCCTAATAAAAAGGGCCTGCTTTAAGGCTACTTAATATGTGTCACATCGACAAACAACTGAGTTTGTGCAGTTACAAGATTTTAAGAGACTGTAAAGAACAGAAAAGGTAGCCTTGAACTAGAAGCAGTATTCTCAACAAATTTTTGGAAAGCTATACATGAATAAAACAGTCGCCCGCAAAGAATAAAACGTATTTCAGATTAGTCAAAACAGTCAGTTATATACAGGGTTTGTCTTTAATTAAAGTAGCTGGCGCTTCAGAAACAAGTGGCCGGTAACAACACTGGTAGCCAGGGATTCTAAAGGACACGAATAGGAGTAGATTATTTTAAGGGAGGCATCACTCGTACACAGAATAATAATACCCTTAGGTATCCTACCAGAGTACTTGCTGGCCAAGTTTCCCAGAATATCGGTTCTTTTGTGAGACAGCTACTCTGAAATACGTTCCAGCACAACACAACACAACACAATAACAGAGTGAGGCGCCACACACAGCACTTGAACTTGTATGCCGACCCTCTTTGAGGTAAAAAGGATTTTAAATGTTACATCATATTATACCTGTTGCGTATGACTTGATGGTTTCCATCGACAGCCGTTTGTCGTTGCTCCATCGCGTTTCCGCGGAGCCTGTTGTTGAAGCTCTGGACTCGGAATCGTCTCCACTCGGCCACCAGCCGTGCCAAAGGTAAATGACATGCACTGCGTCTACCATAAACAAGGCTGAGACAGGAGAAAACAGCATTCAAAAGGTTATATAACAACCGGAAAATTGTTAATCGAAGGTTGACACTAACCGAAAGCACCCCTTCTGATTGGTCCACAGAACTTACGCTACTTTCCTTAACCAATGAGAAGTCAAACGAAAACAAATCGCGACTTCGTCAATCACATTCGTAACGTGCTTCAGACTGACCCGTGTACAGCTAAAACAAACAGCCTTTCGTTTTAATTTCAACTTGCGTATTTGCTCCATCAAATCGCTGTTTTCAATTCATCAAATGCAATAATCAAAGCTCACCTAAACTCTAACCGCACACGTGTTTCTGTTTTAGTGAATGTTTAATTACGAGCAAAATTGGGTGCAGAAATTGTATAGTAAAATCCTACCAACACGAGGCCCTTCACCCTTCATACCTGGTTGATCTGCTGAGTACAGTTGTGATTGAAGAATCGGATAAGGTGTGATATGATCAGATCTAGCTTGGTTTAACACTTCAATAGCCTCAAACGAGCCACTGGAGCTCTTCAGGTGGAAAACACGCATCGTATAGTCATGTTTCTTCGAATCTGTCACAGAAACGAAAGGATGTTACATCAACTCAGTTCTGAGATGCTACGAATACCAAACAGCAGTTTAAATAAAGCCACTTTGCACATGAAGGCGCCTGACATATTATTTACTGTAATCCATTTAATGCTAGGATTACCCCGCTTTAATCGAGGGAATTTCCTATTTCACGTTCCAGTCTCACAGTAATTTACAGAAACGAAAGGAAGTTACGTTAACTCAGTTCTGAGATGACCAAGTAGCAGTTTAAATAAAGCCACTTTACGCGAGAAGGCGCCTAGCATATTATTAACTGCAATCCATTTGATGCTAGGATTACCCCACTTCAATCGAGGGAATTTCCTATTTCACGCTCCAGTCTCGCAGTAATTTAACCCTTTGACCCCTTAAAGTGACTACAATCCAATTTCTCCTCACAATGTCAACCCTGAATCAAACATTAAGGTCGTGAGAATAAAGGAAATGATCACCAAAAAAAGAAGCTCTTGATTGTTAGACAAGTTCTCCTTGTCAGTACCTTAGAAAATGTATGGAGAACAGAATGGAGAATATCCATACTGATGTTGGGGAGTAAAGGGTTACAAACCTTCAAGAAGCGAAACAAAGCCTGTCTTTCCACCGAGAACATTCCAAAAATCTTTGCTCTCCTCCCCTTCGGAAACTTCTTTCGCTTTAAACTCCTTGGAATATTGCTTGTTGAACCTGTTGGAGTAAGGTGGAAAAAAACAGAAGATTTACCTTGAACGATAAAATCAGAAAACAGTCGCTGTAACAAAAGACTAACACTCGAAACGTCAGCCTTGGAAACTCTCTTCACGGTGGCCAATTACATTACCAACTCATTTGATAAAACCAAATTATCTAGTTATACCCCCACCGATGCAGCATCAGAGTTCCTTTAGAATCTTACCCCTATTTTGCAGCAGCAAAAAGGATTCTCTCCTAAAGCTAAATATTTACGCTCTAAAACTTCACCTCTATACTTACAGGTAGGATATTCGAAAAAATACCGTCTGGTTACTATCATCAGTGGGTTTTTCCTTCCTAAAATTCCAAACATGTTACTTACCATTTCTTTAGTCTCTTTGCGGCGCTTACAGCCACTTGCTTCGTGCCTGCAGGGGATTGACAGCCGTGCCAGGCATGTACGATTGATTTCTTGTTGTCCGCTACAATAAATGACGTACGCGATCTCAGGCATGAGGAACTGTTGGTAAAAACGAGAGAAAAGATCGATTCTCAACACAGTGTAAAGTTATATTCAAGTAACCCGCGTCCTGTAGATGGTCTGCCTGAAGGCTACAATGTAAACTGCTTGTTTTACTCTAAGTTAAAACCAGCGCCTTATGTTTGTTTCCTCTTGGTTTCAGCTCACTCAATCAACGATTAAATAATTGAATAATTTCCTGCCAAATAACCTCACCTTGCTGGTATTTGTAATAAATAAGATTCTTCGGGTTCTTCATTTCGCACGATGAAAAGCGCGCCATCATCTTCAGAAGAGACCAAAATGAAAGTAACATATTAACTACCATTTATTTACTCAAATAGATGCCGCGGCGTATATAAATAATTTTGCAACTGACGAACGGCGCTTGTTCAGGGGCAATCGTTGAAAGTAACTGCGATGTCTATCGAGCAGCTTCCAATTGCGTGTTAAAAGTAATCGAGGGTAATTTAGTATCATCAACTGAGTTGATAACTTAAATTGGCCACCGTAAAGAGTTTCAAAGCCGACATTTACAGCATTAGCCCTTTGTCAGAGCAACTGACTCAGTTGATAATACTAAATTACGCTGTTATAATCTCCAACACCGCAGTTTCTTAAGAAATTTATCCCCGTTATTAGAAAGAAATCTAGGATTGCTTTGGTTTTGCTCTACTCCCCCAAGAGATTGATCGAAAACTCTCGCCATTTTCTCAACCAATCAGATTCAAAATTAAAACTAATCGCGACTTTGCCACCCACGTTTTCCCGTGCTTGGGACAGTTTGCGAATTTTCACTTTGAATTATCATTGGCTACTCGAGACACTTTCCTTTGGCCTGATTGGCAGGTTTTGGTGCTTAGAAACTTAGTCCAAAAGCGCTCTAATTAGCATAATTTCAGCATAACTATGAACATACAGCTATCAGCAAACTAAATAACCGACAGCTGTTGGTCCCTATAAGAAACTACTTGCTAAGAAGAACATCATTAACGGTGTAAACTCATACCTGTCTCCTCTAGAGAATCTTTCCTGTACAATAAAACAAAAAGTAAATTGCGTCAAATTTCTAGAAATCGAACAAACCTTGTTTGTGCTTATTTCCGGAAATCCAAAAGGTAAAATGTTTGTCTAAGAAGTTTTAGAGACTTACTTTCCTAAGTGAACAACCATCTTTCCTTCGAACAATCTCGTGAAACAAGGAGGTTCCTTTCCTTGCGCGACCAAAACCTGAAAGACAATCATTCTTTAAATTAGCTCTTTTTCCTTTTTCCTTTCCTTGCATTTTTAAAGGCGAAGCGCTTCAAGTTGGTGAGCAAGGGAACGAGAAAGCATCGTCAGTTTTGAAATCCAGTGCCACCTTCTCAACCAAGTAAATGCAAAATTAAGCTTGCCCACGTGTTCATACTTTGATTTCTGATTGGCTCTTGGTAATTTTCTACGTTTGGATGGCCGTTTTGATTGCCCGTTCTCGTTTCGTTGGGTATTAAAAGGTGGGACGGTACCTGAGGCCCTTTGTCGGAGTCAAGCTCGACAGTCATAAGAGCGGCAGTTCCTTTCTCATTCAGTGAACTGTCTTTTCCTTGCCAGAAGAAGTACGCCACCTTATCCCGACCAACATCCTCATAGCGAGACTGCTTCCCCTTCAGTGTCTTAACGCCTGTCAACTTCACACAGTACTTCCACCTCACCACGTAACCTAGCAGTGGAAGAGTGTGTTCAGCAATACGGTAAACCATGTGAAATTTCATCTAAAACCCACCGCGCTTACCTATCGCTTTAATTTTGGAGCTTCCAACGCTTTGTTAAATCAAGGAGCCCTTAGCTCACAAAGCACTAAGAACAGTTCGCGTAAAAACAACTCTACCTTTCAACTGAATCGCGAAAAAATACAGGGTCGCATTTTCTTTTTTTCCTTTCTTCTTTTCGCTTTACTTCTCTCTGCCATGGACCTGGGAAACTTGCACCACCCTCTCCACAAATCACGCACAACTTAAAGCTAATTGTGACTTGGTCGCACGCGTTTTCCCGCGCTTTTACCCTGAGTTCTCATTGGCTCATTGCAATATCTACCATCGTTCTGATTGGCCGTTGTGTTTTCTTTGGGTTTGGCTTTACCAGACATAATGTAAACGGCCGCACACTCGTTGCAATAATAAGTTCACTGTTTACGGAGTTTTAATGTAATGTTAACCGATGATGATGATAACTAAGGACCGAGCAAAACAAAGCAGCCAACTTATCTAAAAATGATTACCAACCTTCTGATGAGAAAAAATGGCCATGTTCCTCTTCAGGGAGCAGTTGATAAGAATATTCCTTAACATGCCAGATTTTCAATGAAATTGAAGAAACAATAAACTGCCGCCCCTCTTCATCGACGGTACCTGTGCCACGCCCCACGTCAAAACCTACAGATAAACAAATGCTGAAGTATTCTTATCCACTCCAAACTGACCATAAACTGCTCGAAAAATAAGTCTACGACAACCTTGAAGTTAAGTTTCCACTCTTACCCTATACGCATGTTTAAGGTTGGGACTTCAGTCTCTTAACATGCGTGAAAGAGGGAAAACGTATAGACAACTCGAGTGAGCCGGAAAGTTGTTAACAAAAGTACTGGAAAGGTACATTTTTCCCCTCAATATTTGTAGCACACGACGGTGTTTATATTGCAGATCTTAATGGTATGCTGGATCACTACCTTACTGGACAGGCCACCTTACGAGTTGGGGACTGGTCATTATTTATCGTCTAGGGGGGAGGGGGAAGGATTTAGTTATGTAACGATGAAATCTACCTGATCCCTCCTTAAGCTCTGTATTATTAGTCTAGAGGGGGGGAGGGGGCAGAAAAGCGATACATTTTGGTTGCGACAGTAAAATTTACCTGATCCCTCCTTAAGCTCTGTATTATTCGTCTAAAGGATGGGGGGGGGGAAGCGATAGATTTTGGTTGCGACAGTAAAATTTACCTGATCCCTCCTTTGGCTCTTTAGTATTCTTATGATTCCCTCTCGTTGACGGTCAATTTTCTTTAGCGCCCCCCCCCCTCAAAATACTCTGTTGGCGGAAACTTCCCCTTGCCCCTTCCCCAGGGCAATAAATAATTACAGGTCCCTTTGGAGATATAAAAGTTTGATCGGCCAAACAACATACCCTCTAGAATCAAGCTTGGCTCAGGAGGAAGCTCAATCAAGTGTGCAGGTTCACAAGGCTGCATCTCGAATATGCTGTTGGGTCGCTTCTGAAAATTGTATGTATTATCGTATGTAAATATAAGAAACTTTTCCAACAAAATAAAGTGTATCTCAAAGCCCCTTTTGGATGTGCTGTGTAAGCCACTGAAAATTTGTGATGATTACCTCTTACCAGCCGAGTTCAAGGCCCGTACTGCAAAGTAACGAAACCTCTTCTTTTTCCGCTCGGAGTAATGGAGGAGAAGATTTCAATTCAAAGAAATTTTGAATTGTGCGGGCCAAGCAGTAAAATAGGGCCCGCTAACCTGATCAATGATAGCACACGTATCAACGGAGAGGTAAGAGTAAATGGTTACGGCAATTGGTGTTTAAAGAATCATGGGACTGCGTCGACGGACATCTTGGGTATGCTGCATAAACCCGTGTATGTTAGGTATGCTGTGAAACTCTTATCTTAGGTATGCTGTGTGGAGCAAGTCTGAATTGCAACTACTCACAATCACTTTCAATCGGAATTTGGCCAAAAACAATCTGGCCTCTGTTTTACACGGGAAACGACTTAGTTTGCTTAGCAATTATACTACGTAAGCGCGACCTGTGATTGTATGTGTGTGGCCAAAACCGGTTTTACTTGATTCTTGATGAAAGTACATCTTGCGTCCGCCCCATACCTTTCTGCTTCGTGTTCTTACATCCCGGCTCTCTTCATGATCAGAATAAGCCTTCTGCTTGCATTAGTGAAGAGGGGTTAGTGGAAAGATCAGAAAGATTACAATACACATTAGGAAACAGTAGTTAAGTATTTATCTTAGTCAGAAGCTTTGTAGCTCTAGAAATGCAATATCAGCGCCACAAACGATTAGATTGATATATAATAGAATTTTAACACGCGCGAACAAAGAGAATTAGCGAAATTTGTTACCTAGCCATTGGACAAGCAAGTAATATACGGGGGGCACTATGGTACACAGCCAATCGGAGAAGAGTATTTTGTAGCACGTGGTATAAATGAACCAATCATATGGGGGTAAGTTTCTAAAAAAACTGTGGTGCTGCGTCGGTGGGAGAGTATAACAGGTAATTTAGTGTTAATAACTGAGTTAGAATCGCTCTGACGAAGGGCTAACGCTCGAAACGTCAGCTTTTTACCCTTTACGGTGGATAATTTACGTTTTCAACTCAGTTGTTAACACTAAATTACCTGTTAACCAATCATATAGCCGGATAGGCATCGAAGGTTGCGCAATATCGAATCGCCATCTTAGATGCCAATCCGGCCAAATGATTGGTTCATTAGTAGCACGTGGTACAAAATACTCTTCTCTGATTGGCTGTTTACAGTAGTGCCCCAGTGTACTACTCAAGCAATATCTTCAAGCACCGCTTAGAACACAATATTCAGAGATTAGGAAAAGGGTTACCAAAATATGAGAAGCTTAGTAATAGTATATCTTCAGCTGAATTGATCATACCTTTGCTGAACATAAATTAGCCATTACAGTGTAATTATCTTTAGACTAATACTTTCGTTTAGATTTCTAGTGTCAGGAATAGAGTTCTGACACACTATTACTAAGTAGCAGTTCGTTAGTACAAATAGAACATATTAGTAAGAAGCGTAACTGAAGAAGTTTACATTAATTGAGCCTCAATATTCGAAGTTATACAGTGGAAAAAGATGTGTTTAGATCCACTAAACACAACAATGAAACACGAGCAAGTAATTCTTGATTTCAAACCCACAAATCCAAATCAAAGTGGAAATTGAAACACAGCAATTTTCTTGGCTGCCTGCATCTTGAGGAAAACGAATTCATCTGACTTTCACGCATCTTTTTTTTTTTCCTTTCTCCTCATCGCTCGCCTTCTTCTGTTGCATTCCCGAACTCGCAATAACTAAATCTAAATGACCTAAAGAACTTATATTTTACCACCAACCTACCTCAGACAGATCAGTGAAGCTTCCACTTATGGGCTGTTTAACAAAATCCTGTGTGTAATCGACGTTATGATCTGGCCAATCAACGAACTTTTCCCTAAAGAGCACAGTCTCTGAACGAGCTGTCATGCGCCCAAACAAAGCCCAGGATGGGCGAGTTACTTCAGTTGTCTTGGGCGGATCATCTAAGAGCGTTTTAGGGTCTAACGGACTGAGGCTACTCCTGAACTTGAATGATTTATTAAAGATCTCTTGTGCCAAGGCCACGCCCTTTGCTCGCGCCAAAGCGTCACAGTTTCTACCGAGCCACAGGTACACTTCTGAACCAAAGTCAACCACGTACGCCTGGATGAGCAACAACGGGAATCAGTTTCTATTTGTTAGTTATGAGGAGGCACAACTTTCTGACTAATTAAAAGTAGTTATCTACAGCTTTTATCCAAGGTTCGTCGAGTTGGGCGTTTTATGAGAACACAACACATAAACCGGACCATTAGATCGGGAGTCCATCACAGTAACCAAAAGGGTATCTGATCTCCGTGATCCGAATGATTTCATTCCAACAAGGAAAATCGTTCAAAGTTTTGAAAACTAAAAACACCTCACTCAGGACAATAAACAGCACAGCGGTCAAACGTCTGCGCATGCGTGAGGTTGTAATGATCAAGTGGCGAGCTAACGCTGTGAGAACCAAGTTGTCTTACACAAGTTAAAAAAAACAACAACAACAACAACAACTCAAGCCAGTGAGTCACGGTGTTTTTAAAGCGTAGAGCTTTTTTAGTAAAGCTCAAAACAAATGGTAAATCAACAGGATTGCCGTAATTGATTAAGCTTTGTGTTCGAAAAAATCTCGAATTTTCCATTTCCCTACCTTTGTTTATTTCACAGATTTCGATTTTCTTTCGCTTACTTTGCGAAACAGCGGTTGTTTGTTTAGTTTTTCTTTAAAATTTTTCGCGGTAAATTGGCGGGTGCCGGCCAAAATTGATCCCCTCGCGCATGCCCAATGTTTGACCGCTGGGTAACCAATCAGTAACTTTTATTTGAATGGTTACTCACGAGGGTTTCATCCACAGACACAAAATTACGGAAACCTTTATTTGTGCTCAATATCTGATATGAGTCAATCAATGGGGAACTGATCTCGTGTCACAGCATACCTGCGAATTATCCATCAAGTCTGCACTGAGGACACGTCCTGACAGGTCATCACGAAGTACCAGTTCCGGAGGATCCGACGTACAACTGACTCTGTAAATCAAGTTGGTCTTTATCAAACTTCTCTCATGTACTTCATCGGAAGGAAGATCTGCCGCATCTATAACAAAGAGCATCTAGTTAGGATGTGATGACCCTGGGTAATAAAATCACTGTGATTTTGTGCTTTTCTTGACGTCTGAGCTTGGAAGTGAGGCAAGAAAAGAGGGGGGCTGGGTTCAAGTTAGGATATCAGGTATCATGTGACGAAGATATTTCTCGCCATACGAGGCAACAGCTTTCCCACTCACCCAGTCCTTCTTACTCCCTCTCTTTTTTCGCAACTTTGCATGTCGTTTCGGTCCGTATTGGGAAAAACTGTGCCCTCTGTCTTGTGTACGGCCTCGGGCGGTATCCAAGACCTCGGGCACAGTTTTTCCCACTACGGACCTCCCTTCTGGTGAATAACATATATATATCAACTTCTCCTAACTTATTTACAAGGATATGTATGGCAGCGATAGGGGAGAATTATGGGGCAGATATTGGGCAGATATTGGGCATTCAAAGATTTAAAAGTCAGCATCAGTTGTTGAAAAACCTTCAAATTTTTTCGATATCAAAATGGTACCTGGGACATCATCTTTGCCTCCCAAAGTCTTCCAGAAGAGCTTTGTTCCAGCATCATTTATCTCAAGACCTTGATCCATGATATGAACTTTTGTAGCATTACAACCCAAGTCTTTCTGCTTTACTATGATAGTGGAAACTTCCATTCCCTGTTAAAAAAGATTGATCCGTCATAGCCCCATTATAGATTTCTTATGTTGGCAAGACCAGCAAGGAGACATGGTTGTGAAATGATTTCATTTCTTTGCTGCAGGTCAAAAGATTTAAGTTTGAACCGATACTATTGCGTTGTGACCTTGGGCAACACAATTCAATCTAACAGTGCTTCTCTCCATCAGGAGAGAAATGGGCACAAGCTCGCTATCAAGGGAACATGACAAACTGCTGAGAGATAAATTGTGATGGACGAATAAATTTTTCAAGGAGAGCAGCAATGATACCACTTGCTTCCTCCTACAGAAACCTGTAGAGGACCTCAAAGTAAAGATCTACTCCATGTACTTGGTCCATAAAACTTCTTCTTAATCTCAAAATATTTAAAAAGATGAATCTCCAAAAAGAGAAACCCTTAGGCCAACATAACTGCATCCATGTTTCATGGAAAGTGTTCTCTATGAGAAGTTTCCATGTGAACAGAGGATGCACCATACCTTAGCCTTCTTCATTATGCTGGCATCCTTCCCATTCCATAAATGGATATCCTTTGCAGTCACCAATACAAACACGTCTCCAGAATTAAGTGATTTGACTGAAGGCTCAACCAATCTTGTCTGAATATGCCTTGAACCTAAAGCAAAAGCCAATTTTCATAAGCTGCTATGACAAAGAGTCTATCTTCATTACATTTAATTCTTAAATCTTGATAGAAAAAAATGCATGTGGCTACTGATACAGTACAATTTCTATAGAATTGAAGTGAATTAGGGGTTGCATAATGATGCTAGAAGGTAGTGTTGTAGGATATTTGTCTAAAAATAGAAACCCACTGCATCCACTGCAAAGCCCACAAAGAAGGAGTTTTTACTATACTGCTTTTTTAGTTATTTTTTAATAATTTTTTTATAATATTGTAAGATTCTGGTCCCTACAATGGGTTAAAAAGTAAAATGGTGATACATCATCAATTATAGAGATCAGGAGAATGAAGCAAACTAATCAGTTTAAGACTGTTATCCTTATTCTCTAACATAATTTTTAAAGAAATCTCTAAAGTCATGAGGAAAATTCTCATCACATCATGGAAAGCACAGGGTTTATTGGGGAAACTGGCACAAACCTTTAATTTGTAACAGCATGACAGGTAAAAATCCTCCAAAATCTTTGATCTCCTTGCTAACTCCTGAAGCATCTTTGGCTGTCTTTCTCAGTGCAGTGCTTGCAGAAGCCAGATCTTCTGTGCTCGACAAACCAGCAATTGCTTCATCAGTGAAACCTTTCTGTTTTTCTGAGGAGTAAGTTTAAATTATACAACAAAATTAATTTCATTTGTAAAGAAACACATTGGCCCTGTTTCAGCACTTCAGACTCCAAATCAAAATGTTAGAATTCTGGCTATAGTGCATGTCATAATATGGTGTTCCTAACTAAGGGATTTAAGTCCTACTGTCTGACTGAACTGTGGAGGGAACCAAAAAAAAATTCTCAAGATGGAAGAAGGATGACTCATGATGGAATATCAACCCTCTATACCCTAACACCAGTTTACAATTTCTCCATACTGTTCTCTATACATTTCCCTCAGTACCTAGAGGGAGAATTTGTCTAACAATCAAGAGTTCATCAAGTTTGTGATCATTTACTTTATTCTTGTGACTATTTTGTCTCATTCAGTGGTGATAGTGTTAGGAGAAATTAGATGCTTATCATTAACAGGGGTTAAAGGTTGACCCATCTAAGAAAAGAAGCAATAATCTGCAGACCTACTCTCCCAGACACATTTATTCAGACACCTTCTTCCTCCCCTGCCCCCCTCAATGTTGTCCTGCAAGATGGCAATTAACAACACTGAAAGGGAGAAAGAGGGAAAAGAACATCACAGAACTTGTCCTGGAGAAGAGTCCCAACTAATTATGTCTGAGAGTGTAGCTGCTCCTTTAAAAAGAAAATGGGATAGTGCCATGAGTTGTGTGCAGGACTTCACCTTGTGTTGACAAATACTTAAGATTAGCTTCCTTAATCAAACCTTCTATACATCAAACAACTTGAAACATCAGCTTACTTTTCTTGTTTACCATTGATGGCTTCTCCACCTCTTGGATCTTAAGAATCTGGTGGGACAAAATGTTTCAGGTTAGTTATAATGACAGTCAGGAAGCAGCCAAATTTGAGTATCAACATTAGGCTTTGCTACACAACAACTTTCTGTTGAATATGAAAGTGATCTTTGCAGCAGTGAATGCTTCTTAGGTAGTAGTGCAAATAAGGCCTGAAAAAAATTCAGGCCTGGGTGGGATTTAAACCTATGATCTCTCTGCTATTGGTGCAGTGCTTAAACTGAGCTAACAAGCCAACTGGTAGCTGTTCATTATGTTGATTCCAAAAAATCCCCTGAAGTGATGAATAAATGACTGTGAATATATGAAAATCATATATATGAACTGCAGATGAAGAAGTGAATATGAAAGCCATCTTTGCAGTGATGAACACTACTTCAGCAGTAGTGAAAATATGGCTTGAAAAAATTCAGGCCTGTACAGGATCTGAACAATACAGCAATTGAAAATCAGAGTCAGTAAATGTAATGCCATTCATTGTAATCATATTTTGTGATAATACTTATTTACTGTAACACATTGCTACTAGACAAAGCTCTAAGCAACAAGTTGATCCAGAGCAGATTAACTCACATCTGTAGTAGTTCTTAGGTCATCTCTGTTTTGTCGCTGACGCACAGGGTTACTACTGGCCGCATGCCGTCTGGTTGGCTTGATTCTCCTTCTTTGGTCAGAGAAGGCCTTCAAGCTAAAGTAAATTTTAAAAAAATTAACAGCAATTAAGAAAACTTGTAGATCTTGAAAAAGAAGCTGTGGTGATGTCACTATCAATCAAAACTTATGATCATCAATTTAACCAAGGAAAGGTTTTCAAACTAACCTTTTAAACCCAAGAGTGACTGGCATTTAATTTCTCTTTACAGTAGCAATGCCAAGTCATTCATTAAGATCATGAGAATAAAGGAATGATTGCCAACCTAAGTAGCTTTCATTGTCTGAAACAAATTCTCCTAGTCAAGACCAAAATAAAGTCTAGAGACTTGTATGGAGAATATGGAAACTGATGTTAGGGTGTAAAGGGTTAGTGGTGGAATCCAAAAAAAAGAGTTTAACTAAGTAATACATACATGTGACATATGATTGCAGACTTCTAATGGGACACTCCTCAATTGAGAGAATTTGTTTACAAGTAATACTAGTTCTGTTTTGGACTTTGGTCAAAATTGGCCTCGTAGACTTACTTGGATGTGATGCATGGATCCTCTGTACTTTCTCCTTCACCAAAGGCAAATGACTTTGGCCTCTCATCATCCTCCTTAATCAGTCTTTTCTTAATGTTATCTTCCATTGTGTATGACAAGGGTCTATCAGTTGATGAGCGAGATGTCAAGTTCCCATCAATTTCTGCTTCACTTGGCCCATCTTCCTCATCCTTATCATTTTCACTCTCTGAGCTCAAGAAGTCTTCATCAACATCTTCAACAGTATCTTTGTCTTCTTTCTTGAAGTGCATTTCTGCTTCACTCTCAGTTTCACTCTCTTTGGCTGAGGTTTCCACTGTGTCTAGTGATTCTTGCTTCTTGATCTTATCGTCATCACTTGTTGTACTGTAATGCTCGATTTGATCGTCATCAGTGAATGAATCTCTTTGTGGAGCACTTTCCAAGGAGGTGGACTCAGCTGGAAGAACTTTGTCTTTGTTGTAGATTGGCTCTGGTTCCTCGTTCAGTTCATTTCCAAGTGTTGGCAAAATATCCAGCTCCTTGCTAAAGCGTTTTTCAAGTTCATCATCTGTTCCACAACCTTCAGGCTTTCCACAAGGACCATACTCAGCTAGAGGAACTTTGCCTTTGTTGTAAATGGGCTCTGGTTCCTCATTCAGTTCATTTCCAAGTGTTGGCAAAATTTCCAGCTCCTTGCTCGAGCGTTTTTCAAGCTCATCATCTGTTCCACAACCTTCTGGCTTTCCACAAGGACCAAAATTTGGAGTCTCACTTTCTTCAGTTCCACTATCACTTACTTCTGCTTTCTTTTTCTCTTCCTTTCCTTTCTTTCTTTTTTCTTTCTTTTGCTTTGGAGAATCAGCAACCTCAGAACCAAAGGTCTTGGCAATATCAGTTGCTAAACTCTTTATCTCTTGTGCAGTGTCTGGACTCTCGCTTACAAACTCATCTGTCATCTGCCTTCGGCTTGCCATGATTGCTTTCATATCATCGCTAGTACTCAGTTTCTTTTTCAACTTAGGTTTACTCAAAGCCCTTGGCTCTTCTTTTTGTTCTTTAGCTTGAAACCGACTCTTTAGACTTTCCAGTCTCTCAAACTGTTCCCCTTCTTCAAACTCTGGGTTTTTCAAAACTTGCTCCTTTTTGGGGGCCAAAAATCTATTCTTTATGTCTTTCATCTTTGGAAGCATCTGGATTTCTTCATTGAGGGGGGTAGACTTTGGTATTGATTCTTCTTTTTCTTGCATTTTCTTCTTAATATCAGCCAGTTTAGGAACATATTCAAGATTATCATCTGCAATAGTGGGTTTTAGCGGTTCTTCTTTTGTTGAAGTGAGCAAATTCTTCTTAATATCAGACACACCCTGACTAAACATGTAGTCTCTAGCCGGTTCAGCTGAGTCAGCTGGTCCAGCATGCTCATCAGCTGTAGGCTCAGGACTGGGTGACTCTCCTGAACTAATAGACGTTTTTTCTAGAGGCTGGCCAGGAGTGTTAAAAACAGGCGACTTGGGGAGATGTTCCCCATCACTCAGTGAGGACATTGATGATCTCATAGATGAATCTCCAAGCCCATCAGTTTCACTTTCACTTGCAAATCGCCGCCGTGACTGCATATACCTCCATTCTTGCTCTTTTTCGTACTCTTCCTGTGTTGCTAGGTCAATGGGCTTGGGAAGGTCAAATCGAAGGGGATCATCAACCATGTCTGTTGAAAATGTCCATTTTAACATGGTTGTGCGTGCCCTTTCCAATTCAAGGTTTTTCTTGTACTCCTTCAAAGGGCCTTTTATTGGAACCTTACTCAGCACAGCAACAGAATCAGAATTATCTACCTCCCCAAAAGAAGACCATGAACGCTTGCTGGCATCAACGGAGTCTTCATCATCAGTTTTCCGACGCCTACGCCTCATAGCAATTTCAAATTCATCATCAAGGTCAGACTTTGAACGCATGAGAGAGTAAGGATTAGGCTTCTTAAATTTTCTTGGTGTTGTAGAGCGATTTTCAAAGACTGCCTTCTCTTGTTCATCCTGAGGAAAGCGTGCTGCTACAGTGGATCTCCATCTACGTTGCCTTACTGTCTGTAACCATTGAGGTTCCTTTGGAGCTTCCCCTTCATCAATGACAGGCCTAAAATGGGTGATCCACAGATCATCTTTCTTCAAGGGGACGTAGGGTTTGTTAACACCCAATGGTTTGGATGGTTCCTTAACCTGCCACTGTTCTTTCAAAGACTTGACTGAGTCAACATGACCTACATCAACTCCTCTGTCTTCTTCTACAGCTTCAGGTTCCTCAAATGTTTTCACCACACCTTGCCGGGGTTCTCCATCTTTTTCATCATCATCATCATTCTCTGAAGGTGGAGGAGGCCACTGCCTTTCCAAATGATGGGGGGTTGGTTGTTCCTCAGAATGTTCTATTTTCCTACCAGCTCCAGATGCTGAGGTCAGGTAATCTTCTTTTATTCTTTTTACTGGTGCAGTTGACTTGATGTCTGGTTGCTGATCTGTAGGATCACGAGATGAATAATCCATAATGTCATCATCATCATCATCCCTGACATTGTATCCCTCAATGGCAGCAGCATATCGTTCCTTTCTTTTGTCCACATCAGCACCCTGTGATCCTTTTCGCAAAGCAGAGGCATATGAGCCATAACCAGATTTTTTACCTCCTGATTTCTGTGCATTTATCTGTTCATTTTCCTTGTCAGTATCATCAACACTCTCACTACCCCCAGACAGGATTTCAGGATCACTTGGCCTTCTTTCCCTGATTTCTCTTTTGCTGAAGTCTGTTATCACCGCAGCTGACTTTGCTGGCTCTTTACATTTTTCTGCCATTTCCCTTTGTCTCTTCTTTTCCCTCCTTTCTTGCCTCTTTTCTTCCCGACTTAAGGCCTTTGTTAGTTCAATATCACTGTCAGTAGTTGATGATCGAGACCGACCACCTCCAGGAACTCCTGAGTCATCAACTCCATTCACAGATTTGTTTTCCTCATCAGTGTCTAAACTTAATCTTCTTTGTTCCCTCCTTCTTCTCCTTGCTTCAATTCTAGAGATTCTTTCATCACTTTCCTCAGACATGACAACTGTTCAGTGCTTTTTACTTTAAGAAAAACCTCCAGCCAAGCTTGCAAGGAAACCCCAACTCTCTTCAACAGATATTTGCTATGCAATGGGAAAAATCACTCATGCATGCAATGCTTTGTGTGACAGATTTTTCTCTGGTCTCCTCTGGGTTTTGTTACAAATTCCAACTAAGTCCTTTCAAAATTCCCTGTGCAGCTTTTGATAACTCATAATTCAATGTACTGCAGTGGATTCAATTGGATATCCTGTGTGTTGAAACAGAGTCAACTCAGCAAACAGATTTTTGAGAAGAGATTATCTTCAGATACAATCACAGTGACCATCACTTCAGGAAGAAACACAAACACTAATAATTTTACTGTGCATGAAATTTCTGAGCTTGACTAATTTAGAGGAGCATAAACCTTGACAGTGCTAGTGAATTTGTGATTAACAGCTTACAGCCAGCCTCAAAAGATGCTTGGCAACATAACAATTCTTGATATTATGAACATACCTAGATTTCATGTGACAGTCTCAAGCTGAACTCATGCAAAGTTGTCATGACCTCTCTTACAATATTAAATCAAATGATTATATGCCTGAAAGAATGACAATAATTTGGTCAACAATTACACAGTTTGCAACCCAGTTTATAGATCACCCTACATTTCTCACCAATCCAGGTTTTCAAATGAACTTTAATTCATAAAATCTGCTCATCAGCTAAAAGCAGATCAAAGTATTTTAAGATATTGCTTAACACTGGTGACATGTAATTTAATCTGCCCTTAAACAGAAGGAAAAACAGGATTGCATGACTAAACTTCAGTTATCTTTGATCAATGTCTCAAGAGTTGTTATTCAAAACACCAAATTGAGCCTGATCAGCTACAAGACCCTTAAGATAAGACATGGATGTGGAATCTAAAAATCTGGAAGCAAACTAGAAATGAAAAAACTTTATAATTTTGAAAATTTGATGTTCAGTTCACTATTTATACATACTTGATGAAGGCTGATTATCAAAAGATCTTATTGCATTAAAATATAAGCCATTCCAATGCTTAATTACCTTTACATCACAGTGTTATCCAGCCGTGCAAAATTCAAGTTCAACATAATAAATCATCCAATTTTCTCTTTTCATATAATCATAAGACTTAATTAGTACACATTACATCAGAAGTTAAATTTATTTTGGTACCATTAATAATATGAAAGATTATTAAGGAATTATATTAAATTCATTCATCATATTCCCACAAAAAAAAAAGGAATTCAAAGTTTTAATAAATAATTACCCATTGTGATAAGACGATGGAGAACAATTAAGGAACAACTGAAAAACATTTTAAAATTTGCATTCACCCCAGGAACCTCATCCCACACGCACTTAGTTTTCACATTTGTAAGAAGAACCTTTGACTTCTTATATACTTCTGCTAATTTTACTTTTTCATATTTTTAATAAAAACAACTTGGTTTATTTTCAAATAATTCAAGATATAGATCAACAAAAAAGTCATCGAGCATGATTGTATGTTTACAACATTTCTGAAATAAACATAAGAGTGTTTGGTTAAACAATAACAGCAAAGCAATTCATTAGTTAACCCTTCAACTCCCACCTCAAATTTGTAATTCTCCTTACTGTCAACCATACAATTCTTATAATGTTAGTTCAGAGAATTAATTATTGGATCAACTAATTATCCCTAAATTGATATTTTTCTTTATTCTCATCACTTATCTGATTGATATTGTATTGATAATGTAAGGAGAAATTCTATCTTAGACACTATGGAAGTTAAGGGGTTAACAAAACTGTCACTTCCTGCTATTAATTTTAGTTTGACCACAAGAGTACTTGTAATCAATCGCACAGTATGAATGACACTAGAAAATTTTGAATCAAATATTTGGTTTAAACAATGCTGGACATAGATAGAAATAAGAGAGGTGGTAAATTTTGAGCTCGCTAAAGAAATTAAGAAAGATGTTTTTTATCTTGTCACAAGTGTGGGACAAACAAAACATTCTGAGTCCCCATGAGGAATTGAACCTCAGACCTTCAAATGCCGTGCCCCGATGCGCTACCACCAAGCCACAGAGACTCCACAGTGAATGAGGTCTATTACGAAATTCATATAACACGCATCCTGCATACTGCTAGGATCAGCAATGTCAATAGAGTAATGTTTGTAAATAGAAATAAGAGAGATGGTAAATTTTGAGCTTAGTAAAGAAACAAAGAAAGACGTTGTTCATCTTGTCATGAGCGTGAGACAAAGAAAACATTCTGAGTCCCCAGCGGTAGAGCATCAGAGCGTGGAATCCAAAGGTTTGAGGTTTGATTCCTCAGTCCTATACTTGTGACAAGACATAAAACATCTTTCATTAATGCTGGAAATATATTCATCTTATTTCATACAATTCAGAACTTGACAACACCTCCTCTTACACAAATAACCTTTTCTTTGACAGTTGTTTTTGGCTGGCTCAAGAGTAAACAACTTTCTAAAAATCGAAACCCAATAACTCTATTGTAACTGATAGCATGTGAATGCTGTGTAAGAAATTGTAACTTTTTAAACCCAATATTTATAGGTAGGTTTTTTTTTTTACAAATGTTCTGCAAAACATTTTTTTTATGTTATATTAATTTATAACCCTATTCAAAACTAAAAATATTAATTCTCTTATTGACTCTCTGGAGTACAAAACATAGATACAATTAATTGTAAAAGAAAAATCAAACAGAAATATTTTGCAAAAAATTGATTGGTGAGAAACTTCCTAATTAGGTTCCAAGTTTGCCATTTTTCATGGTGAGGTCTTTGGTCACTGAAAAAAAGGAACCTTCAAAGAAGGATAAGGGCCCATTTCTGAAACAGTCCATAATTAACAAGTATACCTTGTTTTTAAATTTATTACATAGGCTGTCCAAAACCTTAAATTCTTTTCACAAAACACACAAATATTCACAGTTTGAGTTTCTTCTCAAGGGATGCGCCATCTGATTTATGGTTGATTACATCTATGAGCTGATTGTAACTTAACTTATCTTGATGATGTCAAGCATCCTTGGCTGACAAAATCGCTAGTAATTAAAATTTGAAAATACCTGTATTGTTCCTTTAAGCCCTAAATCAGATGAAAGTATATCAGATTTTAATTTTGCCATTTAATCCAAATGTAAATAAACAAAGGTGTTATTCTCAGAGTAAATGAGTATCGAGAAATTTGCATAAATATCTCAATGCCTTGTAGGCCTTCAAATTTGGGATAATTTATCTATGGTGACTTTAATTTTCATATTTATATAATTTTTAGTAGCTTGAGAAGCCTAAATTGTCATCAGTATTTGCCAAGAGTTTTTTCTGAAGGACTCATGGGATGATGGAATAATGGAATTGCATTTTTGACTACAATAATAGCATATTTCTGGCCTGTTGAGCAAGTAAACATGTACTAAATAAACGTGACAGATCAATTACAGCACTAGTTTGGACGTTGTTACAAATTTAGAGTTATTCGACCTGTGGTACCAACAGACCCCTACACAGCAGTGCTATTACAACAAACTACGATTCCCGTCAATATTTTTGTTAATTTATCAAGACCCCTGTGGAGCTACTACTGAGATCAGAGAATCACCGTAAGGTTCATTTTCACACACAAAGAAACCTGACATTTACAAGACGCGAAAAATAAACAGAGAAAAAATACATTGAAAAATACAATACGATAAGTATTCAAAATTTCTCAAAACCTGCCCACCAATACAATTTAGTTGTTCGAGTCCAAAACAAACAACTCAAGATAAGAAAAAATTCACAGACACTTCTTAATGTACCCAATTTTCGAAAATAGGGGGAACTATCGCGCGATGGAACACATCATCGCTTAGAATTCATCTCTGAAAGAACGAAATTTAAACCTTAGTCAATTTTTCGAAGCGTATCACTGCGGTCTCAAACTATCGAAGGAAAACGACGTCTTCGTTTCACCGACAGAATTTTGAAAAACAAACAGATTCCTCATAAGGGCAGTTAATTTACTCTGAGACAGCAACAGGCACTGAGCGAACTTATTAACACTAGTTGACAAGCTGTTTTTCATATATCTGCTTACCAGATTTGAAATTTGAGAAATTGCCTCTAAGTACTTTCTAGTAGGGCTGTTAAAGGGATCCAAAATGTGTAGATTAAACAGCTTAGCTTGTCAACAAACTGAAGTTATTCTTGTAAACAGAACTACATGTGCAGACTTGAGTTTTGCGACAATCGAGGGAAGTACGAACTTCCTATTCACATTTCCGATCTGGCAAACAAAGGTATTTAATTTAGCCGGAATTGCGGCCCCACCTAAAAGGATTGGCAAATTCATCACATGAAATGTCCTTGTGGTATCCATTTTTTTTTACACGCGACAACAAATACACGACGTGTAGTGAATCCGGTCCGTGAAACTATTTTGAAACGCGCCTAATTAAGATTTTTCTACGGGAAAACTTCAAAACCAAATTTGGCTAATTTTCGGGAATATCAGATCCAATGTAAAAGTAAGTTTAAGCGGCGTTAATTTAAAACAATTTAATTCTTGCATGACAAATTTTGGCACGAATCAAAAATTTTGTTAGTCATCTGTCGTCAAATTTCATGCACAAATATTCGATCGTTTGTTCGAATAAGTCTAAACCTTCCACACGGACATCGCAATTTAATAAAATTATCCGTCGTTATTATACTTCATTCACATTTAACGCCAGGGCAGATTTATGCCAAAAGGAAAGAAATCAAGACCGAAACTAAGAGAATCCTTGATTCATAATTAACCAAAAAAATTAATCACCGAATGGAGTCCGGATGCTACCAGCACATCTTGATATTATTTTTTTACAATTGTTGGCGACAACAGTCATAGGTTCCTGTCTGTGAACACTTAATACCACCACCCAACCCGCTATTTAAAATTTTAAGAGAGCAAAAAAACCTTAACATGATCATATGAATTGCAGTCTTTGTGGGCACAGCCGCAATATTGACTACTACAAGCACACTTACCTGCTGCTCAAGAATTCGGAATTTCTCCTCGCAAATCCAAATTTAACAATTTCTTGCCTTTAGGAATACTTCAGCTCTTTGATTTCAGTTTTTATCGAAGGATCAAAGCAAACTCGTAGAGAGTTCGAGAAACCAGACACAATTTTTCAAAGCTTCAAAGCGAACAAGGGCTACTCCACTTCTGGTTTCTGTCGCTACGTAACCCACTTATCCGTAAAGCAGGGCTTTTAAAAAGTTCACAGGTCGTCAACAACCGCAAGATATGCAGGATCAATGGCCTTGAAAAGTCAGATTTAAATTAAGCCGTAGAAGTAAATGGCAGGGAATACTTGACGAGTGTTTACAAGAGTGGAGATTTAGAAAGCTGCACGTCTCTCTTCACGCGGATATCCGCTGACAGGGGAACGTCGTTGCAAAAGGGCGAGAAGAATCTCTCAACACCCCCGAGCTCACCCCCGATAGTCTCCTACGCTGTCGTTCTCCAGGAGGTCACAGCAGACAAAGAACGTTACGTGACAGCCCAAATGTCTACGATGGAGACTTTGAGTCAAGTGTAGCTCTTAACAGCGGAGATTTGGACAAGAACAGAGTTCGCCCTAATATAATATTTTCCAAAGATTTTTAAGTAGCCAGCCTAAAAAGAAAGATAGCTGGCGGGACCTGGCACCCAAAAGGCACAATCATCTACTCCACTAGTACTTATTCCCTTAACTTCTAATTCTTGTTTTCTCTCCAAGTTTAATCATTCTTCAAGAACGTGAACGGAAATACCCCAGGGTTTAGAATCTATTTCAGATCAAGAAAGGCCTTTTAAAGTTTTTTCTTCAATTTAAGTGGCCGGTGCTTCAAAAAATGAGCAGCCACTGAAAACGTCGGCCGCCGGTACTTCTGGTAAACATTGTCTGAAGGACATTTGCTGTGGAGATAGGTGTTCAGTTAGTAAAACGGAGCGAAATATTAAACAGTGCGATAGGAGTGAGGTTTGGATCGTGACCTCCGCTACTCTAGCGCTGTTCATTATAATTGCGCTTCGTTTTACCAGCTAAACACCTGGAACGGGATACCGTGGTGAAAGCATTTTCATGCTTTAAAAATGTTTTGTCAGATTGAGGATAACATTGAAATGCTCGGCAGGTTTAATTTAATGCTTCCTCTGTGTGGAAATCAAGGACACACACAAGCAGAAAAAATGTCTAATTTTCGAATAAAATAATAAATTAACCACAACTGTTATCGCTATTGAGGAAAGAAAACCAAAAACGCCAATAAGTGCTATTGAGTATTCTTCGCTTTAGCAAATGCACTTTTGTGCAAACATTGCAATGACGGCAACTCATTTAACCCTTTAAACCCTAAGAGTGCCAAGCATCTAATTTCTCCCTACAATATCACTCCTGAATCACACATTAAGGTCATGAGAATTAAGGAAATGGTCAGCAGAGAAAGAACCTTTTGATTAGCAAACAAATTCTCCTTGTCAGCACCTTAGGAAATGCATAAAGAACAGTGTGGAGAATATGCATACTGATATTAGGGTGTAAAGGGTTGAAAGGTAACATTTTTGAGCAGATAAGGATCACTTAGAAAACTGGTTTTCAGGCTTCATCCTTGGAAGAGAGTGGTGTGCGCCCGCGAAACGATGGACGGCGGACGAGGAAGGGAGGATAGTCTGAAGCGTTGGAAAATTGAAAAATTATGAAGTAGAGATTGCATTAAAATTCATTTCCACTATATGTGTAACATTTCAAAGTGCAGTGTGCATCGAAAAAATTCATGATCACATTAGCGCTGCAGGACACGCGTTTCTGCTCTCGTGGAAAGATTTTAGAAGAGTCGGGGAGAGATTCGCCGGATGGTATGGCACTAGAGATTAGAAGACAGTAATAGACCCTTTGCATACCTCTCGCCTGCTCGCGTTGTTCAAGGGAGGGCTTGCTTACAGACTAGCATCATCACAGAATTGTATTTTCACGAGTTTTGTAGACCATTAGAGTGTAGTAATGGACACTCATGCAGTCCCAAACCACTTTCGACTTTGAGTCGAGAATTGCTCTTCGCTACAAAATAATTACATTACTTTAGCTATATTCTCAAGAAATTTATCTTGCTATAAAAGTTGTAAGTCATTCTATTTAAGATTAAATGTCTACTTAAGCATTTCTGTATACACGCTGTAATCTTGAGCTTTAAAACTGCCTGGCTCTGTCGCTTTTGTTTTGCTGTTTAAGTCACATATTCGGGTCATGAAGTTGAAGTTACAACTGACGCAGTTTGTTTCCCTGACACAGGTCATCAGGCATGACGGGTAATCTGCAACCTGACTTGAATTGTACGCATGCCCCTTCAGCACAAAGTGCATCTCGGATGATTTCGATTGGCCGCAGCTCTGATCAGATGGGTTTGCAATGAACACCAACAGGAAGAGGATGATTACTGGGTGCAGTGTCATTCTGTGATCCCGCTGGAAAAGGATAAAGAGAATTCAAATCAAGTTTGATGACGGAATCTTATCGCTGAGCAATGATATCATTGATAATCGCAACAGACCGGCTAAAATCTTATTGACCGCTGGAAAGGGAGCAGTCATGACTTATCGCCTGTAGCTCACGTCTAGCCGTACCTCCCCCCCCCACCCAAAAGTGAAACGGAGGCGAAATAACACCTTGGGGAGAAAGGTGCGGCTACACGTAGGCAGGAGCCCATCCTCTTGACGTAGGCTATATCGTCTGAAGAGGGTCAGAGGACTCTGGGGATCACATCATTTTCGGGGGGAAGGGGGGGGGAATGGAGGGATGATCAGTCGTCGCCATCAGAGTTTAACCCTTTAACTGTAAGATCAAATTTGTAATTCTCCTTACTGTCAACCATACGATTCTTATAATTTTAGTTCAGAGAATTTAGCATTTGATCAACTAGTTATCCGCAAATTGATATTTTTATTTATTCTCATCACTTATCTGGTTGATATTGTATTAATGTTGTGAGGAGAAATTCTGTCTTGGTCACTCATGAGAGTTAAAGGGTTAAAGAGGGGAGTACAGAAAATTAACCGCCAATGAGGGAGGATCATTTGCATACTGCAGAGCCCTAAGGGGGGATCGGTTAAATTTTTTATAACACAACCAACATCCCCTGACTATAGAGGACTTTTGCATCTACATGGTGCCACTGAGGCGTAATCGCATGCAAATTCCCTGGAGATCACCTGAACTTACGTGGGAAACATTAAATCTCGTTTGTCCTGAAAATTAACAGTGTTTCTCTTTTCCTTGAGGAAATCGTTACGTAATGCTCAATCTATACTTAGTGCTGTAGGACAGTTTCATGCAATCTCTTTGCGTTTATTCCACACTGCTTTAATTTCGCTTTGCGTTGATCACTTTGACTTAATAATTTATTTGAAACTTTAGGAATTGAATGAATCTGTAGGTAGTCCATGCGTTGATGGAGTAAAGTTAAAATGGCTCGTTTTTGAACGCCTAGTTTTTCATGCAAAAGAAACTTGGTGGATGTATCAAATATTTTCCAAGTTTTTCGAAATTAAAAGGTGCATGAAATTATATCATGGCCGTCAGTGTGTCGTTCGACCGTTGACAATAGCTACGTTACATGGTTACGTTCGCATATGGAAATCATCAGATCTCTGTTTCATAATGATATCGCAATTTCGCTTGTCGCAAGATTTTTCGTTGTAAACAACATCAAACGAATCTGTCTTTGAAATGTAATGCTCAAATAACCACTTACCATTTTGTGGAGGCGTGTTGGCGAAGAACTGTTAAATTTCGTCCTGATAGTTTTAACTTCTGACTCTGTAAACTTTTAAAATTCTAGAAAGTGATTAAAGTTGCTTACTCACACTATGAAGGTTTCATACGGCAGGCAGGTGTTTTTAAATAGTTTCTGGCAGTATAAAGTCGTTTTGATTGGCTGCGTTATACATTGATTGACAAAACAATTCTATACTCAAGCATTGTTTATGATTAAATAATGATTGACTGATCTTTGATGTTTTAGCATTCATATGATATATTTTAGGCATTGATAGACCACCTCCGTGATGAAGAGAATAAACCTTACATAATAAGCGATCATACACACAAATATTTCAAGTTTATAGATCGCTTAAATTGTAAGAAATCGAAGTTATCATCTCAAGTCCCATGAAGTTACAAAAAAAAAAGTTGTCTACAGGGAAGGGGAACAGTTAATATTGATGGTTTTGATTTGCCGAATTTTTTGGGCGCAGTTGTTGGAGACTATGGTGGCGGGTTGGGCAACGGAGCACGACTTCTAAACAATTATTCCACGAGCGTGCTTTGGATATGAAATGATTGATAGCCGACGAGTCCCGTAGGGCCGAGTTGGTCATAATACAGCCCATATCTAACAAGGTAGTTTAGTATTATCAACCGAGTTGATAGCGTAAATTGGCCACCGTACAGAGTTTAAAAGCTGACGTTTCGAGCGTTAGCCCTTCATTCTCGCTCTGACGAAGGGCTAACGCTCGAAACGTCAGCTTTCAAACTCTTTACGGTGGCCAATTCACGTTATCAACTCAGTTGATATCACTAAATTACCCTGTTATACTCTCCCACCGATGCAGCACCACAGTTTCTTTAGAAACTTGCCCCTGTTATTCATATCCAAAAAGCGCGGGTGGAATAATTGTTTCATTAAAAACACCCCAAAATATAGATAAATTGTATCCTCGGCGAAAATGCTTTGGCTCCGCTTTAATTGTGAGTTAAAGCTTAGAGCATGGTATAATGACTCACAACCCATGATGGGTAAGCCAATGAAAACTCTTGAATTGCATCATCCAGTGGTCCAGTTTTTTAATAAAAACCAACATTAAATGAATCCTAAGCGCATGTACCATCACTCACCATAGCTGCTACAGGTTCCTTCAACAAGCAATACCTAGGACGGGGAGTGCACCTGCTTCCAGGCCGTCACTGTGTAAGCCTGAAGCGAAGACGTTATGCGAGCGAAAGAAAAGAAAGAGGTAGGGAACCAACAGAAAATAACTGGTTGGGATTAAGGAAAGTAAAGAGAAGGAAAAACTGCTTTACTGCGACCTTAATTAATTCTTAATTTCTCTCTTAGGTTTTCGTACGCGTGTGAACAATAAATGATAACCAGGCCATCAGTATTACCTGAAAAAGTTTCCGATCTAAAATCATAGCAAGCCGCTTTTTATCGAGAAGCTATATGAATGTTATATCTTGTTGCCGCTCTAGAACTCTCTAAAGCCGGGCGTGGGACCAAGCTTAACGACCATCTCGCGCGCGCAGTTGACATGTGGCCTACGTCATATAGAATTATTGTAACGTCAATCTTTACTTCACTTCGTTTTCGCGGCAAGAGCAAGGTTGC